CGCTGTAGCACTATGAAAGAAAAGATTTAAAAAAAAAAGAAAAAAGAAAGAGCAATAACGTATGCACACACTCACGGTAAGCACTGAATAAAAATTACGCACTCTGTACACTGTTACGCAGCGCTGTTTAAAAAAAAAAAAAAAAAAAAAAGATGAATACTTGAGCACAATACACGCACTTTTCACTGCCCTAAGTAAGTACTGAATAATATTCACACGCACTATATCAAAGCACTGAATAATATGATTAATACTGGAGCTCTTCGTAGCATTAAACTTGAATGAGGAGATGTACAATCAAATCGCATACACTGCCGATAAAGTATGTACCGTACTGCGAGAACACGACGCACAGACTTCCGGTATTAATAATGAATAAGGAGATGTATGGTGAAATTTCAAAAAATCTTCTTTACATATATTGAGTATGTGCTATAGCACTAGTTCGGACTGGGGTATGTAAGAGGTAAATACTTCGTAAGCGTTAAAATCTCTTTCAAAATAAGCAATGCACACACTTTCACAGATGTGAACTTGGATGAGAAATTGCATTAAGCAATGCACACACTTTCACAGATATGAACTTGATGAGGAATTGCACTGTAGCACTAATAGAGGAAAATACTGCTTGAGCTGAATGCAAACACGCACTTGGCACAAATGATGTGTAGTACTAATAAAAAAAAAAAAAAAAAAAAAAAAAATCAAATACAGACTTCGGCGATTCCGGATTAGGGGTTTTTCCAGATTATAGATCATCAATTTAAATCTGGTAAGATGGCATGCAGAAATTATAAAATTAAAAATATGAAACCATAATTTATGAAATAAAGAGCAATTATGATCTAAAGAGTATCAAAATTTACAAAAAAAAAAAAAAAAAAAAAAAAAAAAAAAAAAGCTTTATATTTATTTGTTTATTTTTTTAAACATTTCTTTCAACGTGCGCATGCGTAAAGCATACATTACACATAGTTGAAATTAGAAAATTGCAACCAGAAAACTATTTGATGTGTATTCGTGATATTTATAATGACGAGGAATATGATTTAAATCATATCAAAGACGGAGTACATCGAGATGAAATACTACATTTAATAAGGAATTATAAGCCGAATAAAATAAAAACATCTGGCCTGAAAATGAGGATAGTGATGACAGATCAACTTCCAGTTCATTGCGCTCTGCGACATCCCCCCCCCCCCCGCAGAGCAGCGTGAAATTGATAAACAGATTTCGGAATGGTTAGAGAAACAAAGGATATACCTTTATCCATTTTTTGCAGCAATTCCACTTTTTCTTTGATGGACATCGAAACATGCTTTCGCTTTGTAGATCCTTTGGCAGCTCTAGAATCGGAAACTTTTTTTGACATAATCGAAAGTTCAAGCTTACTTTTTATAAAATTGCTCTAACAGTCTACAAAAAATAATAAGCCGGATCCAATTAGAAGATTAAGGAACAACGCAATCTGCAACATTAACTGAAATAGATAATTAGATAATTTTAGCCTAGCTTATACCGTCCGTTATACATTAAACGTGCATGCATAAACGTATCATGCGCATGTGTAAAGGTATTATGCACATGCATAAAGGCATAATGCATTTATGCATGCGCAGAAAGTTTGTAGCTTTGAGGTCCGGATTAAAGACTATGTACTGTATAGGCTTTTTTGTGTGGTGAAACAGAAACAGAAATAGTTGCCAATCTCTGTTTCTGCCATGATTGGTGTGTAGTCAGAAGATAACTTTAAGACACTCCATATACATCGGGAGATCTACATTTTTAAGCACAAAGAAGTCAATAGTTGAATGACTGTTGGTAGTATCAAGTGTTGGGGTTTGAGGAGCTGCAATTTAAGAAAACGTCTGTTGGGTTAATTTGTGTATTAGAATGTCATATATGTTAAGATTATTGCAGTTCCAAATAGTGTGGTGCACGTAAAATCTCTACATAGAGTTTCTCAACTGTTAATTTTCACAAATGCAATAAGATCATTATACAATCCTCATGTGGGGTTTCTTGGGGAAATATAGGTGGAGATGAAAGCGATTGTGTGAGAAGTGTTGAGAGTGTGTGCAATATCTAGGGCTTCGAGTGCTGAAAGCTGTAGAAGTGTTGTGAGAAAATGAAGAATGGAGCATCTTAACTAATTAAAATTCCTCCTCGTGTTCATCCACCAGGCCCATTTCTATCAGTAGTGAGTTGATCAAATCTATGAGTGATATAATTGCAATCAGAAAAATAATTTTGCAGGCCAAGCATGTTTTCCTGGAGGAAAAGAATTATCAGAGCTATACTCATTTAAGAAATCTTTGAGCTCGTGCTTTATATCTAAGATCATTTGCATTCCTTATAACTTTTGTGGTACCATTATTACAATTATTTTGAGATATATTCAGATACCTCAGATGGTATCAGGGAGTGTATATTTTATGTGTTACATTATTCGCAGCTTCTATTTTCTTGCTTATATATTTTTTTAAATATTTAGTGTACCCATTATAGTATTTTTTCCAAATAGATCATTATTTTCAATCACAAATTGAAGCTATTAACAAAGTTTGTAATATTATAATTGTTCTTAACATTCAAATCTACATGCTTGGTAGTGTTAGCAATACTTATTATTTTTACATACATTTTCATTGATTGAATGTGTAGCCTCAGCTGACTGGGGGGAATGATTAGTAGAGCTAGAGTTTATGAAAATGGCTTGATTTTTAGCTATTTGGGCCTAAAAGAATTTCCTGTTTTTACAGCAGAGGGCTTATTTTCGGAGAATTTGACACAACCCCTATAACTGGCTGGATGAGGACCCTGGCAATTACTACACTTGGGAACCTCCGTGATCTTACATGAGGAAAATCAGAGGTTTTGAGATTTAGAGAGCATATAATGCATCTTGGCAAGTAGCATTTTTTCACGGAATGGTGCTACTTCTGACAGGTATGACTCTTCGGCGCCTGATTCTTCAAGATGTACTTCAAACCTGAGACTGCAGAGTACATCAGATTATGCAAATCAGGGATATTATCAGTCATTTCATTCTTGACCACTTGCATTGGCTGCGGAGATGTGTTTAGGCGAATAGACGTGCAACCATTGAGCAACTGACCACCCAAACCAAGTGTCTACCAACGTTGTCTCCTCAGTGACAATTCAGTGAATGTGTCCGTGTATGGACCTCAGCAGATTCTTGGTAAAAGCACATTTGCTAACTGCATTTCATCAACTACAAAGGGTAGAATTTGCATGCCAGTACCGCAACTGGACATCCACTGTGTGGTGACAAGTGGTTTTCCTGATGATTCACATTTTATGCTCCATCAGACAGATGAACATTGGCGTATACAGCTAGAAACATTGGAACACAAACACCCAACAACAACTGCTGGAAGGATCTAAGCTGGATGAAGGAGCATTAGGGTTTGGGGAATGTTTTCATGGCATTCTTTAGGTGCACTCATCATTATGGAAGACACGACGGATCAACAGAAATACATATCTGCTCTTGTAGACCATATCTACCCCTACATGCAAATTGTTTTTCCTCAGACTGATGGCATCTACCAGCAGGACAGTTTGAAGTGTCATACAGCTTGCAATGTTCTCTGCCCAGGAAACTCCCCGGACTTAAATCCAATCGAGAGTCTGTAGGACCACTTTGATCGGGTTATTCATGCCATGGATCCTCAACTGCTAAACCTAGCGCAGCTGGCCACTGCACTGGAGTCGGCATGGCTTAACATCCCAGTGGACATCTTTAAAAATCTAATTGACTCTCTTCCTGCACGTCTCACAGAGGTCCGCTCTGCGAAAGGTGGTTGGTTATTCTGACTTTTTACAGGTAGTCACATTAGTGCGACTAGACTGTGTGTGATTCATTGGTATGTGTTGCATATTATACAGATACTTCAAAATCTGCAAAAGAGTTTCAAAAAGTTTGCGCAATTTTCAATTTTTCAAAATAGTTTAGCATTAGTAGATTTACACTTTATTTCCATAAAAAGTCACTTGGAGCATCTGTACATTTTTGATAATGTTAATAAAGTTGTTGGATGTTATCATGAAATTTATTCTTTGGTAATTTTTTAAGCCTCTGAAAGACTAAATATGTTATATCTACACATGAAAAGCTGTATTTATGCAGCATTTATATAATTACTAACTTTACTGCTTGTTTTTGTAATCATCCATTCACTAGGATGCTATTGAAATCATTAAGAAAGAACATGAAAACTATTTTTAATAAATTATATATATTTAAAATGGCAACTATTCCATTTAAAGTGGTCATCCCATTCAAAAGATTTAAATTGTTTAATTTAATTTCTTTAATTATGGCAATGCATGCGAGGGCTGTCTGCCTAAGGGGAGGAATGCCTGTGTGGAGGGATTTCTAAGGGAAACTGGCTTGTATACACGTTACACCTGGGGAAAACCAAAGAGAATATTTAAATAGTTTATTTCATAGATGTTTCAGAATCTCCAAATTATTCCTTTCTCAACATGGACTTGAAAGAGAAAATAATATAATAATAATAAATAAATATAGCAGGACTAATAGGTCAGCTAGAGACATGTGACAGATTGTATTTTGTTAGTTAAAGTTCGCAGATCACAGTTGCAAGGGACCGCCTTTTCCGAGATGTCACAGAATCATTAATTTTAAAAACTTATAAACTTACCGTGTAAGATGAGGGGCTATTCTAGGCTATAAGTTCTTGCAGAAGAAAAAAATTCTTTTTTACTATTTTAAAAGTATTCACATAGTAATGCCACCTCTAATACATTAGTATGCATACTTACATATTAACTGTGTTATTACAATATTGTTGTAATTTTTGACACCTTTTCTCATTATTTTGTAAGGAGATGATAATTCATTGAACTTCCTGAAGCTACCATGCATTATTCATTATTTTATTTTGATTTATATTTATGGTAAATTTATTTGTGTGTGTATAATCAATGGCATTATATATCTTATACAGACCAAAGTATGTTCTACGTCAGTGTTATCTACATGGAGCCTAGTTGGACCTATTTCTGTTCAAATTCAGTCTGCAGATGACTCATGTTTAACTCTCAGTTCACTTGCTCATTCCATGGAAAATCCAATCACCAGCAGTATTACATCAGAGTAAGTTGTATTTTAATTTATCATTTTTTAACCGTTTCTTCTAAAACACTAATTATTTATTTACTGTATGCTATGAGAAATATTATTTGGTGCAGCATCGGTTTTAATTTTTGACATTCTCATACTATGCAAGTAAAATTAGTGTATACGCTTAAATACGTGTACCAAAAATTTGTTTTCATTCTTTAAGCATTAATAGCACTAATGTTAATAATAACAAATATTGATTTTTTGGTATCGACACATAATAAAATTTTGGATATTTGAAATAGGTCAACAAATAATGGGTTCAATAGGAAAAGAGGTGCAGAGTACCTCAGTTGTATGTCCCATGTTATCTTGTATCCACGAATTTGTGGTATATATCTTAATGTCTTTATACTGTCTCTACACTTTATATGTTTTCTTTTGTTGCTGTAGTATCCTTTTTTCAGATAACCCACAGAAACTTCCTTATTAATTTTTTTTTCACATACTCTTAACTGTTACTTATGATTGTGACGGAGTATCAAATTCTATCTTGTGTCATCACACATTCTCAATTACTCAAAATTTTAAAGGGCCTACCAGCGGCCGAGCGGTAAAGTCGCTGAACACTGGTAGTTTGGTCCGAGGTTCGAATCCCGCAAACGGGCTGGCTGCATGGGTGTTTTCGTGGTTTTCCCCGTGTGTAACGTGTATATGAGCCAGTTTCCCTTAGAAAGTCCTCCACGAAGGCATCCCTCCCCTTAGGCAGATAGCCCTCGAGGCTTTGCCGTAATTAAATAACCTAACCTAACCTAACCAAAATTTTAAAATTGAGCTATATTGATTGAAAGGAAACGTGCTCATCTGTATTTTTTAGTGTATACTAATGCCTGCTCCCTGATGGACTGTGATGAATCTATAAACAACAGAATTCCTACACCTGCTCACATATTTAACATAAATATCTCAGCTTTGAGTGCAAAATGTTCAATGAGGTCACTTTTAATATATGGCATGCAGGAAAATATATTTTTATGTTTTTTGCAGTCTCTCACTAGAGCATAGATCACATAAAAGTATGTATTTAGTAGATTTGTGCTGGAAAGCAGGTATTGCATAAATATGATCGGCATTGTAAGTGCGTGTGGTGTTTGCTTGTATTAATTTATTGCAATTTTACTGAATGATCAAGCTCATATGGAATTCACGAAAAAATACCTGCCTAACTTATAAGTCTGTGGCAAAATATATCTGCTTGTAGTGTGTTAATGTTCTCTATTGTTAGCCTTCAAAAAGCGTGAACATTACTTTTATGCACTCTCTATAGGTCCCTGGCAACCTTTAAGAATCATCCATAATTTTATTAAAATTTTACTTTATTTTATAATTACATCAACAATTAGCATTTTATTCTGCAGAAAATTCATTCATAATTTAACCACAGTACCTCTGTTGTATTTTAATACAAAAAATATTTTTAAATAAAAGAACAGTAATAATTTTGAAGTAGGTTAAATTAGAAGAACATTAAAACAGAATGGCAAAACTATAAATCCATATAATGTCTGAAATAATATGGAAGTTTGACATTTAATTGTAAATATTTGCATTAGTTTAAAAATACTTTCCTTGTTTTTCAATAGTAGTGAAACTATTGTCACTTAATTTACTAAACCCCTAATCACTTCTAGAAATCAAACAAAAATTATTAAATGTGTTTATTTTTGGTTTACATTGTACAGTCAGAAGTCGTTAATTCGGACACCCATAATTCGGAATGATCTATAATCCAGACCTCAAAGCTAAAAACTTTCTGCGCATGCGCCGTTGACACATGCGCATAGGCGTTTATGCGTGCGCGTAAGACCTCTTACGACTGCGCATTTGCATGTGCGCAAGCGCAGAATATGTTTTTGCGTGCGCGTTTTATGTATAACAGACGGTATAAGCTAAAATTATCTAATTATCTATTTCAGTTAATGTTGATGATTGCGTTGTTCCTTAATTTTCAAATTGGATCCGGCTTATAATTTTTTGCAGACTGTAAGAGCAATACTATAAAAGTAAACTTGAACTTTCGATTATGTCAAATAGAATTTCCGATTCTGGAGCTCCCAAAGGATCGTACAAAACAAAAGTATGTTTCGATGTCCATCAAACAAAAAGTGGAATTGCTGCAAAAAATGGATAAAGACATGAAGAATGTGATAGAGAGGTTAGTGAAAATGAAAAAATTTCGATTGACAAGTTAGTCGGCATTCTCGGCACAGCAATTAACGGGACTTGAACAGCGGAACTTTGTAACTCAACAAAAAATTATGTCTGTTTATAGAATTAAAGGGAAAGTATTATCACATAAAACGAAGCAACTTAAACAACTTACATTGAAAGAAATGTTTAATAAAGTAAACAAATAAATATTAAGCTTTTTTTGTAAATTTTGATACCTTTTAGATCATAATTGTTCTTTATTTCATAAATTACGGTTTCATATTTTTAATTTTAGAATTTGTGCATGCCATCTTACGCGATTTAAACTGATGATCTATAATCCGGAAAAATCGATAATCCGGAATCGCCGAAGTCCCGACGAGTCCGGATTAACGACTTTTGACTGTATTAAATGTGAATATGTTTGTGAACGAACAGTAATGATTATGGTAAAATATTGCATAGTCTATCATTTTTTTAATTCTCTTTTTGAAGTTAATTTTACTACCCAAAATCTGAAATATGATTTAATCAAACATTATTGTCTTTCGTAACTACCCAACACTGAAAATGCAACACCAAGAAGGAATGGTCAAAACATGATGAAACTTGGAAAACAGAGACAGTGTGTGACGGACAATATGTGATCTTTATTTCGAAATGATATGTGTAATACAGAGCGAGAAAAGCATCGGCTAAGTAGGTTGTAGGACCACCTTGGACGGTGATACACGAAGCAACACATCTAGGTACAGAGTCAATGAGACTATGGATGGTTTCCTGAGGAATGGTTCAACATTCCTCATAGCACCATCATTTGCCACAGTTCGTCTTCTGAACGCAGCAATGGTATGGTCTGCAAATGGCATCCAATCACATCCCAGATGTATTCGATTGGTGAGAGATCAGGAGAGAATGGTGGCCAGGGAACCATCTGTACACTTTGCAAAGCACGTTGGCTGATGCGAGCAGTGTGTGGTTGGGTATTCATGCTGATAAAGGGCATTGAGGTAAAGGGTAGGGGAATGTCACTGGCTGCAGCACATCGTCCACGTATCGTTGGGCCGTCATAGTGCCCTGATTACGAACTGGAGGTGACCTAGAATTATATGCAATTGCGCCCCAAACCATGATGCCACTTGGTTCTGGTTGATATGGGAACATCTAGGGTCTCTCGAACCTGCTGCTTGTTGATTATGTGTCTAGGATTATTTCTTTCTTTTTGTAATTTAAGCATTATCTCATTTGCCGACATTATATTTAATGCTGGGAGATTTTGATTTTGTTTAATTTCAATTCATGAAATGTATAATTTTTTTGAAAAGAGATTTGCAATTAACAATACAAATATAGTTTGTGCATTAATTGGATTTCTTGTTGCAAGTGTTACTTGATAAATCCACAGAGGCACTTTTTTGCATACTAAAGAAAAGTGTACATTGCTGTATAAATCAAAATACTGGTGATTTAAATCACCAAAGGTTTATTATTAATAGAACTTTTCATAGTATAGAGGGTGCTGTTGCGCCAAAAGAATTCTTCTGTGTTTTTACATTATGTAACTGTGGTTCGCCGTTGCGATGTATCTGTATTACTGTGATATATTTTGGTGCTTTCATTAAATATAAATGAAAGATATCATCATGTATTTTGTCAAATCGTCCACTGATGCAAACTCGTCGAAACAAAATTAGCATTTGAACAAGAATCGTCAAGTTATTACTCGCCTTTCGAACTACGCATTCATATCGTTATTCGCTTCGTAACAATTATAAATCTGACTTGATTATTGTATCACTAAATGTGATTTTTTTTCTAATAAGTAATTGATGTGTACATTTTTTTTATTTGTAATACTTTTTACTGTTTTTCATTTTTATCATGGAAGCATGCACAATAATTTTATATTAATTATTTATATTATTTTCTTTCTTTTTAATAGTGAACAAGAACTAGCCTACTGCTCAGGTAAGCTATATCATGATTTGATCAACAAGTGTATTTTAAATTCAGATCTCAGATCTTTGAAACAAGAGAAAATTTAAGCTAAATTTTAAATTCCTGATTGTTAAAGTTTTATTATTAATTAGGCTAACTATATATATGATTATAGGTTATTTTGAAGAGAACAGTACTGTTTGCTTGATGTTGCCTGATCAGCTTATCATTTTGATTAAAATGGCAGTTTGTCCTATTTTTTAATAACAACTGCAAATGTGTTTTTACTATGCAATCATAAATTCTTGTGTTTGGCCTTATAGAGTCTTGTATTCCTGGGTAGCACAAACTAACGAGCTGTAGAAGACTGTATGAGGAATTATCCTCAGGTCTTAGTACAACTAAAAAGTCAGAAGAAGAGTGTAAACAACCTTTTATTTAATCTATATAGTTGCACAGAGGGCTCCACTTGGGCTTACATAAAGTGAACACTTCTGACTTAAACAGGTAATGTTGAACTTAAATTAAAATGTATTAAATTAGCCTAACAGCTCACAGGATAAATTAATGTACAGATGGCTCTGACTTGTAGAAGTCGGCAAAAACAAGCATAATAGCTTGAGGCACTCAACTTCACAGGATCAAACACTAGTAATTCAAAATAACCACATGACCTTCAAGTAGGTATAATGTGCTCTAAAATCACCTTCCAAAACCTTTTCCGAAATAGTACTTTTTTCTACCATAATTTGAATACACATATACTAGTTTATTAGCATTTTGTCAGGAAAGGATGGGTGAAAAATGAGACTGACAGAAAATTTTCTTTAACTAAAAATTAACTGTTAATTAAACTAATTAAATCCCCTTATCTTTCCCTCAGAATTTAAGTACATGAAAAAGAGGTCCTTAATGGTCTCATTATAAAGAACTTAAATTTTAACTATCTAACTACCTAAACTTTTAAGAGCCAACCTCTTACAGTAATATCAGAGTAATGTAAGTGTAAAAAAAGTATAAAGACAAATTTGTGTTACAAATGATCTGCATTCTTCATCTTGAGGTGCAACTTTTTGGCAGCTCACAACTTTCCAGAATATCTGGATAGAAAAAGACTTTAGAAAATACTTTACAAAATGATATATAAATGATATATAAAAATGATATAAAATGATATAAAAATGATATATAAATGATATATAAATGATATATAAATGATAAATGATATATAAAAACATTTCATTTAATTTTATCTCCACTTTCATTCCACAATTAAATTTCTTCCCCCATTGCTGCCCTAGAAGAAATGAAGTGTAACATCGAGACGGTGTCTTTTCTATGCATGTTTGAAAACACTGCAAGCTAACTGATAACCAATATATTAGCAGTACTTGATTACCTCAAAGACACCCTGTTCTCCAAACTGCACCTAATGTGCTAAAAAGAGCATGATTTAAACTTGAGTATTGGCTGGAGAGCCTAACTTATGCAACCAGGTAGCTTTTCTTTTAGCTTAATTTCTATGAGTTTTGCTGCCTTGCACATAAACGTCTCATTCATACAATACAGTTAATTCTTATAGCTATGCAAGTCTTACTTTATATATTTGCTGATACTTTTCACAAGACAAACATAAGATATAATGCAGTGAATAAATATTTTTAGTAGAATTCAGCTTGCACTTTACATTGAGATACATGAGTTGCTTTGACATTTTTAACATTTTCATTCACTTTTCCTGGTAACAGTCTCTTAGACTAAAACCACATTGCATTAGAATACAATTTTAACTTCCAAGGCTTTTTGCTCTTTAAATGAACTAAAATAACCTCATTTGAGGTAAAACTTAAAAGAATATAGCAACTAGTCCTTCTGGATATAAAATAAAACTGAACTTTACTAAAAGAAAAAGAAAATTGCACTTATCTTTTCTATCTTTTATACCCTTCCATTCTTCTCCTTGTAAAGTCACTCCTTTATTTGTCCAACTTGAACCCTTTAGCAGCTGTGATTCTCCCTCTGCTCCACAGCTTCTCTTCTTGGCACTTTCTCGGAACCTTTGCATTCCCCCCCCCTGAAGTTGAGGATTTTTAGATGGGTTAGGTAGTCTCTTCACTTAAATCCCGCAGTGATCCTTCCTTCTGTAGTTCAGGCCCTTGAGAATGCTGACTTTCTTTGGAGTCTCCGAGGCTTGTTCGCATTGCTGCTTGTTCCTTAGCTGTCTTGATGTTGGATCCTTTCCATACTTTGGGTCTGCTGCTGGAACTTTCCTTCAGAGTTTTTGCATAACTTGGCTCTTCTTTGATAGATCGTGTTGCCTCTTAGATTCATTGCATCTTGGCCTTTCTTGCTTCTGTTCACTTCCGAGGTTTCTTTATGCGTTCCTGTATATTCACAGTTGCATTTCTTTCTCTATATGGCATTTGCACTTCCATAGATTTTTGCTCGCCTTTGCTATTCTTTGTGGCATTTGTATTATCCAATTGAGTTTCCTGTAAAATATCTTTAAAAATTTGCATTTTAATTCAATTGTAATAAGGTTTAATTAGGTTCATATTTGGCACTAATTGTTCCCCATCTTTATCTTTCAAATATACCATGGCTTCCCTAATTGGCCCTTGAAATCGAAGACAAAATCTGGCAATCTCTTCTTTGCTTGTTGATGATAGGGAATGTTTAACATTTGATCTCCCACTTTATAATTGACTTCTCTCCAATTCTTATCATAATTCATCTTTTTTTTTACTCCATTGCCCAGTCTGAATTTTTAACTTCTTCGTCTTTTGGATATTTTTCATTTGGAATTCCGGGGCTGTCTTCTGTCCAAAGAATAATTTGTATAGCGGCGTAATTAACTAGGCAGGAATTGCTGCTGTTTGGAGATGTGAGTGATTAGGTTTGTCAATTTGAAGAGTATCGTCGTACATATTTGTTGGTTCATCCTGTTGGCAACGGCATTTATTCTGAGGCCGGAGAACAGTTTTTCTGGATTTTTCTTGCAGTATCATGCTTCACTGTTCGTAATGCATGGGCTCATTCATTGAGCTTGCTATCCCAGTGCTTGTGATGGCTTTTCTCATAATAAAGTATGATTTTTACTATATTCTTATTCACTCATTCTACTAGATTTGATTGTGGTCGATAAAGGTACCATTAGGGGGGGGTATGCTAAGTCCTGCACATAGTTTTTTAAATATTTGCCTAACAAATTGCTTACCATTGTCGGAAATTAATATTAACTCAGCTCCGTATTTTAAGACATATTTATTTAAAACTGAATCTACTTTAGCTGAGGCTCTTCTCAGAGGGACTGTTTCAACCCATTTAGAGAAATGATTTTATGTATTTCACTGTGGGGAAATGGGCCCAACTAGTTGATCCCAACTAATTTGTTTGATAATGTTACTTTTATATATCTTTCAAATACCCACCAGAGCTATAATTAATGTTGTTACTTAACTGGCAAGTATGGCATGACCTGACATATGAACTTTTGTAACTGTGGAAAATACTCTACTTCACAACCTTGTTGAACTGTTTTCCTAATTCCAAAGTGGCCAGACAAATTTGTATTTTTAAATAATTTTTATAAATTTTTGGAAAAACATTTCGAATTATAACCTATAAAATTTTTAACCATCATCTTAGTAGATGTATTTCTAATTTTTTATTCAAAATTTCCAAAGATATACATGAATTCATATATTGGCACATTTTGAAATTTGGCATATTTGTTGAAAGTGATAGCAAGATAAAATGTGGTTTAGGCACTTTGTTAAATTTATTTGAAAGTAAGAAAAATGTCACTTTTTTTCCGCTCATGCACAATTTAAAAAGGTAGAAACAATGTGACCTTTTTTCTGCTCTTGCACAATGGAAGGGAAAGGAAAATAGTTTGCCATATATTAAGAAGTTCTCCAAGTGAATTATTCTTGGTGCAAACTGAAAAAATACGCCAAGATAAAGTTTTGAATTTTTCCATAAATTTCACACCAAATTTTACAAAATTTAAATTTTAGACATAATTTGAGTCATAGAATTGAAATATGGAACAAAAGTGATCATGTCATTTCAGAAAAAGTCCAATTTTGTGTCAAAATAACTATACTAGAATAATGCTATATATAAATCTAATATATATCCTAAGTTGTGCTTTCGAGACATGAAAAACGTAATTTGAATATTGTCAGTCAGCCCAGTAGAACGAGAGATACAGAACTGTCCATTTTGGGGAGGGGGGTAGCAATGTAAATTAACTTATAATTTAAATTATTTAGTTTTCTTATTTTTAAATTGATCAAAATGCTATCATAATGAATGAAAGTTTATGAAAGTAGAAACTAAAATAATTAATTTATAAATTTTGCTAATAAATGCCGTTTAACTACAGTTATTCATAAGCAGGTTCAAAAAGCTGTGTCATTCAGGGAGTTAAAATAAATGTTTGAACCATCAAGGAAATGTCTAAACCATTTTTGTAGAATCTTGATTGTACTAATATAGTCTTGTATGAATTGATTAAGATGATCAGAGTTAAAAGGCCAAAAAATTTAATTTAGAGTATTTTAACATTACCTTAAATATATTAATAGGCAGCAACAGTTGGGATTGGAGAAATTATTGGACAACAAATTTAAATCTTGAGTGTATCAAAATATTGCGTATTTTTATGAGCAAATATATCGTTTCATTGCTGAAACTGAACTTACTGAGCAACTTTGTTTTAAATTTACTGTATGAAAATTACTAATTTTATGAGACATTATCATTGTAATTTAGGATAAAAGCCAGAAATTTTGATGTAATGTTTGGTTGGGCATAACGTAAAAGGTATGGAAGGTTAAAATATCATTGGGAAAATTCTAATGTTGAAGCATTTTGTAAATTTAGATTTTGTTTCTTCTTCATTTTAGCATATTACATGGCATCACAAATGTCTGCGACATCAGATATGTGAGATAAATTAATCAACTTGAAATTTTCATATAGATTTCTTAAGAATATAAAGTATATAAATCTCAAATCATACGTGTTAAAAATGCTAATTTAATTTTTAATTTGTAACTAATTACTGTTTTCTTTAGAATATCCTTTGCATTTAAATGACAAATCATCTTATGAAGCAAATGTTAGAGAATCGCATTCTTTATCTAGCTATGTGGTAAGTGCATTTATTTGTTAGTATTATTTTGTTCAATAAAAAATTTTAATATTTATGTTATTTTCATTTGAAGCTTTTGCATCAAATAATTATGTAAAAAGTATATGTGAATGATTTAAGGAATTAAGATGTTGTAAGGGCATACTTTATGCTCTTTCTTATTAATCAGTAGCAGTATGCACATTCTTTGCATTTCTGAAACAGAGGAAGCTATTTCCATACAAAATTCTAAGTATTAGAAAAAGTCACAAATTATAGGAGGAGGGGCAGAGTTAATACTGAAAATTGAAAAGTAATAAAATATATGTAATTAAAAAAATATTATTTTAAATAAATGAACTAACTAGTAAAAAAAATATTTTTTAAACTTCCTTCTCGTCTTGATCATATGTGGCTAAAATAAAACCATGGAACTATTCACTGCAATAGATTTTAATTTAAAGATGGCTGAAAGAAGTTTAAACCAATTCTTCATGATCGCTCTTACATGCCACACTTTTATCGTTCCTTAAAATAATGTTAATATTTCAAGGGATGATAAAAGTGTAAGAAAGAAAATGCTACATATAGTACATGTCATTGTTATTTTAGATATACTCATGTCATTCATTATTCCAAGCAACCAAATATCAGGAAGGGGAAAACTTCTGATTGAAATCATAGTGCTGTTTCTATAAAAAGTTTAGAAATTACCTAATTTATTTTTTTATTATTCTTATTCTATAACAAGATGAAGAATTTTTTGTGTAATCTTTAATTTTAATTCAGAATTTTCTAACAGGTATGGTTTTAAAATAATTATTGAAAAATCAACAAAACATGATAAAAATGTATTAGAGATTCAGGAAATGTTTTATTTAAAAGAATCTTTTCCACAGCATCCAGTGGTGCAAACAGTGAATTTGTAAGAATATTACTTTGCTCATTAAATAGAGATATGTGCAAATGAATCACGAAAAAGAAAGTCATTTCAACATACATAAAAAGAATTCAGATCTAATTTTTAAAAAGTCTGTTTAAATGGCATTATCCTATCCAAACAATCTGTGTGCCAAATTTTTTGCTTTGATCCTGTTTCATTGCAGTGTGGTAGACACACAGACACTTTCTTTCTTTTATTATTATAGACAGAATGTGTACAGAAATTTAAGACTAAATTTTTTCTACTAATCCTAGCAGAGCTGCAAACAATGACAGCATTGATTAGCAACACATCACAGCTTCCTAAAATATCATCTATTTTTAGAAAGATATGTAAATGAAGTTTTGTGTTTGATTTTCAGCAGCTGATATGTTCTCTCATGGATTTTAAAACTGTGAAGCAATAAAATTTCCTTTGCATAATTAACTGTCTTATATGACTTTGTTGGGAAAATGTATTGCTTTTCTTATCTTTTTACTGACCAGATTAGACATTAGTGGTAAATTTTACGTTTCCTAGAATGAAATTTCACTTTAATAAAGCACTTTTATTTCTGAAATTCATGAAACATAACGAGGAGTGAAAGAATGTTCTAACAGTGAATTTCTCAGATCTCCAGAAGCTCTGTTAACATTATAGATGTTATTACATATTATGAATGCATATAGAAGGCTAAACACGAATAAAATTAACTTTTTCGAATCTTTATATGTTATGAGTCAGTGTTAAAACTTTGTAAATGCTCTGCTTGTATTTGACCTCTGAAATTTTTATTGAAATAATGTAAATAAATGTGTGATTAGCCATAATTTGTGCATAAATTTGTTTGATTTCAGGAAAGGGAAACTTTTATGTCATTTAAGACAGATTCACATTTAAAAGACTTAATGACAACAGATGAGGAACCAATGTTATCTCATTCTGTAATAAAAGATAGTCTCCAGGTTGTACCAGTTGATTCTTCTGTCAACTTTGAAAATGATGTAAGTGAAATTCTTGTACTTAAATTATTTCATACTTTATTTCTACATTTCTAGAAAAGTAAACAATGTTCTTATAATTTCTCATTATGGATAAAGTGTTAAATTTTAGTACTTTTTGATTAATTGCTGTGATTTATATTTTGGATTAAATTGCAATACTAGAGCAATCTCCAAATCTTGGAACCGAGGGTTCGGTGGATTAGAGAATTCTGTGGTCATTGATTTTTTTGGTTTACATGTTTCCCTTTCTAATTTTTCCATTAAATTTGGACTATGTGAACATTGGTCTGAATTGAATTCAAAACAATTATATTCTAAATAAATTTATGCACAACAAAAATGTCAGTACAAAGGGAAAACAGAAAAGAGGATAAACATTACGGAATTTTTGTGAAGCAGCAAAAACCTTGTAAAATCATATCGTTAAAAATTTTAAATGTATGTAAATAATTTTAAAGAAATTATATGTGAAATTTTTTTTTTTTTTTTTAGTCCGAATGGGCAATATGTCCAGAAGGAATATTAATTTCATTTTAGCATTTTGCTTTGATTCACTATAAGTATCGGTTCATTTTTCAAACTCTTGCCACCAAATATTACAGCCTTATATTATATTTTAAAAAATTAAATTATGAAGAATTTGCATAAATGTATGTTTCTCGCATTGTGATAAAACAACGGTACATAGAGTCATCAAATTTTAAATAACATGATCCTCCACCGAACAAGGGCATCTGGAAGCCCTAATTTGGAATTTGTTTTATTATCTATTTCATATTTTGTAAGACTTTAACGAATTTTTAATTAACAAACTCAACATTGTACAGGGGGGAGGAAAAAAAGAATTTTTTTTATCTTCAGTGTTAGAGACGGTGTATCGGAAATTCTTAAGATGTGCTCATTTAAAAATTATTTTTGGATATTGCTGTTAAATTCAATTTTATGGTTTAAGTGGGAAGAACGTGATATTTTAAATAAAGGTAACATGCAAAACGTTAAAAATGCCCGCTTTAAGAAGATGAAGCTCTGCCAGAAAAATAAGAATACAGGGATCGAGTGTATTTCACATTAAGGCTATCTTGCTAAATTGGCAAGATATCACCAAGCTGGCAGTGGCTTTTTTTTTTTTTTTTTTTCAATCAATTTAGAATGCCAAATTTTCCGAGAAATCACTAAAAGCCACCAAACTTGTGACCATTGGTGACCAAACACCATTTGGTGACATTTTGGTCCAGTCCCTGTATAACTGTAATTGGTATCGTAATAATAATATTTATGTAACTGTAACCATATCTGGCCCTCATATGCCTTCCACTATCATAATTACTGAATGGTAAGTGGAAGGTTGCTTCCTGCCGCAGCAACCTTCCACTTATCATTCAGTAATTATGATAAGTGGAAGGTTGCTGCGGGAAACCTATGCAAAACCAGAGGGAGCATCTGCTGTCAGTTTTTGAGTTTAGAGTTGACTTTGGTGTATTGAGATTATCTCCATGTAAGGTTTTCTCTTTTGATGCATTTTGCATTGCATTGTAGTAGTTTGAAGTGTAATTACTGATTGTGTTCTGTGATACTGAGAAGAGCTGTGCAATTATTTTTGTGGAACGTTCCAGAACTGTAAACTGTTTCTTTTAGTAAAATAAATTTTATCAAGCTGTCATTGGTTCTGTGTAAACTCAGTCCAATACAAACCCGTACGCAAGCAACAATTTTTGGTGTCAGAAGTGGGGTTTAATGCCAGTGACAAGAGCAATGGATGAGTAGCTAAAGCAGTTGGTGTCTGCCTTTGCTGCGTTCCAAAAAAAAAAAAGATGTAAGGGACCATCAATTCCGTTAAAGTTATGAAAAAAGTTCAAAAAAAAGGTGAAAGCAGGCCAAGAATCTGTTAAGAAAGAGATGGAAGGAACCATCAAATCAGTTCAAGAAATGATTGAAGTAGGTGAAGAGGAAATGAAAAGGGAAATAACCTCCATAATAGAAAACAAATTCAAGGCTATGGAATGCAGAATAGATAGGGCTGAAAATAAAGTTAGAGAAACTGAAGAAAGGGTTTCTGCTGCCAAGCAACAAATCAGAGAAAGAGTTACTGCTGTAAAACAACAAATGAGAAATAGTTTCTTCTATCAAACAACAAATCAAAGGGAGAGTTTCTGCTTTGGAACTACAAATCGATTACAGAATTTCTACTGTTACCAAAAAAGTTGGCAGCTTAAAGAAATTCACAGTTACAAAAAGAAGCAATTATCATGGTTTTAAATTTTCATCTATGCCTGCTCAACCCTTTCTAAAGCTTACCACTTATGATGGAAAGACCTTCTGGCAAGTGTATAAGACTCAGTTATCTGTAGTGACGGATGCAGATGGGTAGAATTCGTACCTAAGGCCTGCCATCTTGCCGCTTCCCTGAGAGCAGAACTTAATGAGAAGTATATCCTTAAAAGGTTATCCTTAAAAGTAGGTCTGAAAACCAGAAACTAGACTTCAAAGCTCTATAAATTGTAAATTGGGAATTAGATTTCATATGCTCATATAATAGATAATTTCTTTTATTTCAGGAAGCACTTAACGATAAAAAAGAAAAATTGCATGAAGTTCTGACTTTTGATGTAAATAAGGAAGGGGCATACAGCAGAGATTTTAATTCAAAGGATTTGGAAGTTCATTCACCAATGACTGTAGAGAAAAGTGTTGAAATGCTGAAGGTATTTATGTATATAAATGTTATTTTGCCTATTTTTGGTTAGTGAAAATTTGTAGCAAATTTTGTAGAGTTTTCCATCATACTTTTAGGATAGTCACAAAAGTTATCCACATGGTCGAAGAAGACACATAAAGCACCATAAGAAAGGGTTTGATGTTGAAGAGAGACGATCCCGTTCAGAACTGCGGATTACTTCTCGATTACACAATGAAGATGAATTCAATGGCAATTCTACAAACCTCGCCCAGGATTCCAAAAATGAATTGCAGTACAGTTCAACTGGTACTTTAGGTAAAATTTATTCTGGATTGTGATACTGTGTTATTGTTACTAATTTTTGTGTATATCTGCATTATTTTATCTTGTTCTCAGTTAAGTATTATATCTTTTATGTACCTTCCAACTTTTAAGAAATTTTCATAATTTTTCCAAAAATTATTCTAGCTTTGTGGTCTTAATGTTTGAAATTAATTTTTTTTGGAATTTTGTAGTTTTTATAAACATTTTTGCCAGTTCATTAGGTTTAGCAAAATTTATTTATAAAGTGCATAATTTTAGGAGACAGTCAAGTTACCATTTAAATTTGTCCCTTTTTATGCATCAAAGGCAAGGTATTCTTCTTTTGAAATATGAATTCTTTTGTTGTGTATCACCAACTTTGGCAATACTATGAACAGTTAGGTGATTTTGAAGATTAACCGATTTACAAAAATTTGGTTTGGTGATTTGCAAGCAAAATTCTTTTGTTGTGTATCACTAAATTTGGCAATACTGTGAACATTAGGTGATTTTGAAGATTAACTGATTTACAAAAATTTTGATTAGGTAATTTGCAAGCAGATTTCTTAACAAGTTTTAACAAATACAATAAAAAGTCTGAGATTTGTACTCGTTGGGATTTATGTAATTCTTGGTTGGAGATTTTTCCAGATCATCAGTTTAAATCTAGTAAGATGGCATGTAGAAATTATAAAATTAAAAAATTAAAGATGTGAAATAATGAAGCATTTATGATTTAAAAGATATCAAAATTAACAAAAAAAAAAAAAAAAAAAAAAAAAAAAAAAGCTTAATATTTATTTCTTTACATTATTAAACATTTCTTTCAGTGTAAGCTGTTTAAGTTGCTTTGTTTTTTATGCTAATACTTTCTCTTTAATTCAGTAGGCAGACATAATTTCTTGTTCAGTGATAAATTTCCATTGTTCAAGTCTTGTGATTCCTATGTCAAGAATTCTGACCAACTTGTCAAGTGAATTTTTTTCATTTTCAATCAGCTCTCTGTCACTTTCTTCATTATCGGTAGCAGTATTTTCTGGATCTTGAACCATACTACAGATTTTGTCATTCATTAATTGATTGATGATTGAGGCACTGAAACATCGCAATGAAAAACTTCTGTTATGTCATCTTCATTTATTACTGCTTTTCCACATTTCTCTGCAAAATCCATTAATTGAAAATTTTATCTTTAGTTTGCAATATCTGAAAACATTCAAATTTGCGCCTTTCATCTTCATCATCCTTACCATAAAATATGGTAGCTGGCCATAAATTATGCCAAGCATTTTTGAAAGAATCTTAAAACGCATCTTCTTGTGATCTTCCGATACTCCACACAGCAGATTTTATGCAAAAATATTTCAAAAATTCTTAAATAGTCTTGTCATTATTCAAGAAATTTAATATGGATTTTTAAAATGCTACTTTATATCTGCATTTCAGGGCGCGCACTATTCTGATATCCATAGGTTGAATGATGGGCATACAATTTTGAGGAAAGAATCATATGGATACATTATCTTTCACTAAAACTTTAAGTGAAGTATGAACCAAACTGTTGTCTACAATCAGGACAGTTTTTGCTTCATCAAATAAACCAAACGAATTCAAATGTTGCCGAGCCTCAGGTATGAAATGATTTTCAAACCAATCATTCATTAACGCTTGTGTCACCTGTGCTCTTTTCTTTGCTCGATCTATAACAGGGAAAATCTTTACTCCTTTAAATGCTTGAGGTCGTGTATGTTTTCCAATTATGAAAGGTTTACACTTGTGCATTCTTGCAGCATTTGCACATGCTAAAATTGTTAGTTTTGCTTTGGAATCTTTGACGTTAGTTGGAGCCTTTTATGTAGAGGTTGCCAAGGTATTTCGCAAAAAAGACTAGTTTCATCAGCGCTGTAAATTTATTGTGGAGATAACATTTTACTATTAAAGTTTGTTGAATTTATCTGGCATTAGTTCAGCACCTTCAGTATCACCTGAAGCTTTTTTACCTGAAATTTTTAATTGCCTTATACCATGGCGATTTTTAAATTTGGTTAACCAACCTGTCCAATATGTGCACTCAGTTTTTGAGTTCATTTCTTAATGAAATATTTTGGCTTGAGCCATTAGCATTAGACCTGCCAATGGCACGCCCTTGCTGCAGTGCTGTCTGGCCCATTCAGTCATCAATTTGTCATGATTGTCATTTCTAGCATAACGAATAATTTTTCTACTATTCATTACAAGTGGGATATTAGAATCCACAAAAAATTCTGTTTTCTTATATCATGTACATTTCCTTATGTCGTATTATTTGCTTGTCAACATTGACTTTTCAATCCCATACTCCTCGCATAAGTTTGAGAGGGACCTATATACTTTTTTTTGCAGCAATGCCACTTTTTGTTTAATGCATATCAAAACATGCTTTTGCTTTGTAGGTCCTGTTAGAATAGCTCTAGAATTAGAAACTCTTTGACATAATAAAAAGTTCAAACTTTAATTTTCATAAAATTGCTGTAATAATAGCAGCCTGCAAAAAATAATAAGCTGGATCAAATTAGCAAGTTAAGGAGCAGCACAATCAGCTATATTAACTGAAATTTCTTGGAATCAAATTAAGTATAATTTTAGCCTAGCTGAACAGCTTCCACTGTAGATTATTGGCTTTGTAGCAGGAGATAAAAGACAAGTTGTTCTGCTAAATTTTTGTCCTGCTTCTATCATGCTCTGAGACAATTAAGCCTAAATTATATTATTTTAGTTATTTATTATACTAACGTCTATTTCTTGAACATGATTAAGGCTTATCTGAGCTCTGAATAAATAAATTACCTCCTATACTTAAGCTTACTGAGGGCCAGTGCTAGATCTTTTACCAGTGCTGATACAGTCTCTGCAAGTCCTAAATTTTGCTACCAAATGCCTCCCTAAGTTCTAAATTTTTGCTGCCCCTTAATTTTGAGTCCCAGTGCTTTAGCTAAATTCTAAAAATTTTATGATCCCTTAAGTTTGTTACTCGGTGCTTGTCTAAATTCCAAAAATTTTGTCTTCTCTAAACTCTCCCGTCCGGTGCAGCCATATAAGCTCTGGCGCCGGTACTGGATTTATGTGAATAAAAAATTTGTTATTCTTAATTCAAATAGTACTAAATGTCATCTTTTGGCTTATGAGTATAATTAACAATATCAATTTCTAGCATATGGAAAGATTTTTTTGTTTGTTTTTTAGTCAATTTTTAGCACATTTAACTTAAATTTGTAATCATATCCAAAAGTCAACCTGAAAGGTTTCCATACTCTTTGTTATTCACTTACTAATGTAAAAAAAAAAAAAAAAAAAAGTTTAGGCATCGCTGCATGAGTCATTACTCAAGTTGTTATGTGTTGATAAACATGCAGTGATGAAACCAAAATATTATAATAATATTAGTGATTCACCAGGTTGGTGTCAGGGATATAACATATTAGTAGGTGTAAAATCAATGATGTTTCCATGTAGAATGTTTTGGTTTGAGATGTGTATGTAAAGCAGGCCAAACTATTGATCACACAAATTTATGCTAAAATGATCGTATTTTCAATAACAAGTATTCAGTGCCAAAGTGAAATTAAGAATTCGGTCCATCCACATGTTTTATTATGGAGGGAAAAAATCAAATGCACAAGTGTAAAGCATTAAAAAATTCCTAAAGAAAAAAAGATTGTTGGTGGCTTTGAGGTCGATTTTAGATCATTCTAGATATTGGACATCCGGATATCGGACTTTGTACTATATAATGATGTTATTATACTACATCAAGATAATAATAATATATTAAAATTACTTGCTTTATAAACATAACATTAAAATAAATGTTTTAAAATGTCTTTTCTTTTTGGTGATACAGATCCCAAATCCGGACATCCATTATCCGGAATGATCTAAAATCCGGACCTCAAAGCCAAAAAATTCCAATTCTTAATTTCACTTAGGCACTAAATAAAATACTTCGTTATGGAAAAACAATCATGTGAGCATAAATTTGTGACATTAATGATTTGGCTTCGTAGCTGAGTATCTACTTGGCATACATCTCAAACCGAAACATTCACCTATTTTATATCCCTGACCCCGACCTAGTGAGTCATTATTTATTATATTTTGCTTTCATCACCACATGTTTATCAAACATGATAGCTTCAGTAATAACTCATGCTGTGATATCTAAGCTTTTTTATATTAGTAATTGAATAACAAGAGTATGGCATCATCTGGAGAGTCCCAACTCTTAATTTCACTTCGACACTAAATAAAATACCTTGTTATTGAACAAACAATCATTTTAGCATAAATTTGTAGGATCAGTAATTTGGACTTTTTTGCTGCATATCTGCTTGGCACACATCTCAAACCGAAACATTCCACATAGATACATCGTTGATCTGACGTCAAACTGGTGAATCAATATTTATTATACTTTTCTTTCATCACCACATATTCATCAACACAACAACTTGAGTAATGACTCATGTAATGATGCCTAAACAATTTATGTTAGTAAATGAATAACAAAGGAGTATGGTAACCTATTATGTTGACATTACGTTTGGCAATGATTACAGATTTAAGGTAAATGCTCTAAGAAATGTTGACGAGGAAAAATTCAACAAAAATTTCTTTTCATATGCTAAAAATAGATTTTGTTAATGAAACTCATAGGCCAAAAGATTAATTTAGTGCTATTTTAATTAAGAATAACTGATATGTTATTCACCATAAACCCAGAAGCGGCGGCAGAATATGTTGGCACCGGACGGCAAAATTTTTGGAATTTAGTTGAAGCACTGGGCAGCAAAATTAAGGAATGAGAAGTTTTTATGATTTAGGGAAAGCAATGAGATCCAAAGTTTAGGCACGGTGAAAATTTAGAACTTAGGAAAATGCTTTGTAGCAAATTTTAGGACCCATAAATACTGCACCAGGCGGTATCGAGCACCGGCCCTAGATAAAGCCTTAAGTATATGTGGAAATTTATTTATTCAGGACTCGGATTAGTTTGAAGCATGTGCAGGAAATAAACGTAGGTATAGTAAATAACAAATACAATTCAGACTTAATTCAGTACGCAATAGGAGCAAGACATAATTTAGCGAAACAACTTGGCTTTCATTGCCAATCTTGTGATACACAGCCAATAATGTATAACGGATGCTATTAAGCTAGGCTGAAATTATCTTTACTGATTCTAAGGCATTTGAATTAGTCTAGCAGACTGCTCTGCTCCCTGATCTTCTAATTTGATCCAGCTTATTATTTTTTGCACACTGTTATTATTATGGCAATTTTATAAAAACTAAGCTTGAACTTTCGATTATGTCGAAAAGAGTTTCCAATTCTGGAGTTGCCAAAGGATCTACAAAGCGACACCATGCTTCTATGTCTTTTAAACAAAAAATGGAATTACTGCAAAAAATGGATAAAGGTATATTCATCTCGAAATTATGCGAGGAGTATGGCATTGGAATGTCCACTGTATATGACACAAGAAAAAAGAGAAAGGAACTTTTTGAATTTTTTGTGGAAGCATCTTAAACAACTTAACATTGAAAGAAATGTTTAATAAAGTAAACAAATAAATATTAAGCTTTTTTTTTTTTTTTTTTTTTTTTTTTTTTTTTTTTTTTTGTAAATTTAATACCATTTGGATCATAATTGTTCTTTATTTCATAAATTATAATTTCATATTTTTAATTGTATAATTTCTGCATGCCATCTTACCAGATTTAAATTGATGATCTATTTTTCCTGAAAAATCCCAAATCCCGCCGAAGTCCCGATCAGTCCGGATTTCAGACTTTGTACTGTATATAATACTTATTTTTTATTTAAATATTTTTGAATTAAAAAAAAAAGATAATACATATCATAAAGCTCAATTTCTGAACATTTTGCAAAAATAAAAAATGCATGTATAAATATGTGCAAATTCATTTCATTTGTCTAATTTTGTATTTTTTTCATGGTCTGTGTTTTTCTGGTCTGTAGTAATTTCAAAATATTTAAAGACATGTTAATTTTCGGTCTAAACATGGCTTTATTTTATTATTATTATCCTGAACTTTCCTCTCAATTCTGGTGTTTTCTGTCACAAACTTGGTAATTTTACATTATTTTGGCACTGTTAAAAAATGTGAATATGTTTATAATATTAAGATTGGAGTACAGTGAATATAATGATAAGTTAAATATGATGTTATTGTTTTATATTAATTTCTGATTATGAAAGTTCTTTCACTTACAAAAAGATAATATAACAGGATGTGTAATGTTATATAATTCTGTTTTCTTTTAAATTACATTTTCATTGTCTTAAATTTATAATTATATATGATTAAAAATGTTGATAATGTAAGTTTAATTAGTTCTCATTTCTATTGCAAGATGAGAACTCACCAGAAACCAGACATAGTTGGCCAGCTTTTAGGAAAACCAGAGAAGAAGATATTGCTTTGTCACCTTTACCCCAGAAACTTGAAATGAATCAGTAAGTTTGGTTCTGGTTTCCAAAACTATTTTTTATTGATAATAAAATGTCATGTAAACATAAGCACATATTAAAAATTTCAGGGAAAAAAGGTGTTTATCCATCAAGTATTTGAACATATTTTCAAATGTAACAAAATGAATTACCTCTTGAGATGTTTCATTTTGATAATTTAGTAAGGGTATTAAGAAATTGCAGTAATCAGTATGGAATTAATATATTTTAATTTTTGTTATTTATTTAATTTAACTTTAGATCATCAGAAGCTTCGGTCTCCCCTAGTGCATTTCGAACCTATTTGTCTCATAGAAAGTGAGTACTGATTATTTTATTTCTACCAGTTTTACTTATTCTTATTTTATGTTATCCAAATCATGTTTGGAAAGCTGGTACCACTCTGGAAGTGGTGTATAAAATGTTAAGATTGCTATTTTGAAAAGAAAATGCATATCTTACTTACTAATTATGCAGACTCTGCCCATAAAATTTCAGAGCCCATTTGCACAATCTGTATAGAATATTTTTCCTTATTTCTTTTAGAAATTTTCATATAATATTGAACAATAAAATTTAACTCATTTTATGTTGCAGAAACATCAAATCCTGAATTTTGTAGCATATTTTCTTCTAACTGTAAGCCCTATTACCAAATGTACCTGTTGGACATTGTTTCTCAGTAACTAGCTTTGCATTTTTTAACATTGTGTCATGCATATAAGCAATTATTTTTTAAATTTCTCTATAGTTGATATTCGTACATCCTTTTTAGTGTCTAAAAGTAGTCAGTCAGCATTTTAGTGTTCTGTTTTTCTTTATATATTTTCACTGCATTTATATCATGACAAAAATCTTTGTTCTCATCATTTTTGGCTCTTAAGCAAGAATTAAAATCCAGTTGAGAATCCAGAAGATGAATCTTAAATGACATATTATACATTGGTGTTGTCCCTCTGTTTCATGCAATGGTGCCAACGTCAACATACATTTGAGAAATATTCTGGAGCAAAAACTAATGTGTCTTGAGAAAATCCTATCCTTATCACTCACTGCCATTTACATAATAGTCATCATTCACTGTGTGCTAATGGGCTGTCGTTGTTAACGTTCACAACCCCAGTTAATGGCCTGCAACATACTTTGTCAGTCCCTGACATATTTTCATCTTTGAAGTGCCTTCATTGTTGAAAAATTAAAACATAGCTAAGTGTATTATCACCATATGTATGCCCTAATAGTTTAAGTGTTTCATTACTTGGCTTTCCAAATTTAATCTCACCTCTGTTATATTTTCACAGAAATATCTTTCTCATCTGCCAGCAAAAAATAGACACTTCGCCGCACTGTGACCAAAGATTTAAAAGCTATAGTTTCTCAACTACAGATTCTGATATATTGATGTATTTGCTAAAATTCATTATTAGGTTATCACATCTAAAGTTTGGAAAGCAAAATAGATCCATTAAACTTTTCAATCAGCCATTGTATAAAAATAATTTTTCTTGAATAATGTGTAACGTTTATACGAGCCAGTTCCCTTAGAAAGTCCTCCACGAAGGCATCCCTACCCTCAGGCAGACAGCCCTAGTGTGCTTTTCCATAATTAAATACACACCACACATTTTTCTTGAAAAATGTAGAACTAGTTTAGTTAAAAACTGCTTAATGGTCATAAAATATTAAATAAATGTTTATGAAATTTTCTTCTTCTCTAGATTTATTAGAAATTTTTTTTGTAGTAAAAGTGTGTATGAATTCGGTATTATAAATTTTTGATTTTTCTCTCTTTTAGTCTTCATTTAGATCCCAGCCTTCCACCATCACCTCCTGTTGAGCAAGAAGACTTAGTTACAGGGTATGAATTTATCTTTTATATTTTTATGACATTTTCTTAGAGACTGATTGCTAACTTACTATATACTCAAGGGCACAAAGTAAAATTTTAAATTCTTAGTGGATGCCACCCATCCAAGTTTCATAATCACGCATCAAACTTCATATTACAAACTAGAGTTTTGTTTAAAAGATATAATGTCATTGAACTAAATAACATATATTTATAATTTATATTCTTTAAACATTTTTTTAATATGTCAAGGTTGATACCTTGACTTCAGATAATTCCTATTTGAAAACAACCTCTCAAAAATATGTACTTGAACAATAAGAATTAATCTTTACCACACATGGCTTTAAAATAAGGTACTGATTTCTGTTTACCAAGCTCAAATATCTTATTAGTTTCATAAGATTTTAAAATAACATCATTTTGCAAGCTTACTATTTCTGTGTTTTCCATAATATTAAGCTGGAAATAGTTAAAAGTTGCCATAGCTGTGTTTTCTCTGTCAGTAATATTAAAAGAATTCATAAAAAAATTTAAAATTGTCTCTAAATTTGCAAAGTCAACAAATCTAGAATGAAATTCAGTTTGCAATGCAGATACAGTTTCAAGATATGAGTCTGTATTACTGTTATGCTCTTTCATACTGCTGCCATTTTTTAGTAATTAGAAACATGATTATTCCTGCCCTGTAATTTCAAATTTAGCTCATTAAGTTTAATGTTAAATCTGTCAAAAAACCCAAATTTGTCAACCAATTTTGGTCTTCCATTTATTCCTAAGGTTTTCCTTGGGATGTCAGAAACGTTTTTATTTGTGGTAACAAATTAATAAATTACTCAAGCATGTTTCCCTTGCTCAGCCAACAAACCTCAGTGTTCAAAAGAAGGTTGGTAAATTATGTATCTTCATCATTTTCCAAAAGCAGTTTAAATAGTCTATGTTGCACTCCACTTGTCTTTATTATTGTATTGATTATTTTAGTAACAACAGCTATTACAACTTGGAATTCAATGATTTTTACACACAATGATTGCTGATGTATATTGCAGTGATATGCAATACGTTTTGGAAAAAAAAGGGGGGGGGATCTTGTTGGTATTAAAGGAATGAATTCAGTATTCTTTCCTGTCATAGCTGGTGCGCCGATGGTTGTCATTGAAAATAATTTCTCAATGAGTATTTTAATGTTGATCAAAAATATTTTTGTTGTGCAAAATAAATACTTTCCTCATGTGTGCCCTTTAAGCAGTAAGATTTTTAGAAACTCTTCTTTTATGGTAAAATCATCAAAGGCCAGCCTAACATTTGCTTTAATTGTGCTGTGTTTGTTATAGCTTTCGATTCATCCAATTGTAAGGGGGAAATGCACAGTTGTTTGTATCTTTTTTCAGTTGGGTTTCTAAGGGCCCTGCAGTCGTTTTAATTCTCCTTGTAGTAGTTCTAGCTGACAATTGCATGGCATTTATGGCTGAAACAATTTCTTTTTTATTTTTAAAATCTGCAAACAGTATGTCTTCAGATTCCAACATTGTTTCTTTTATTATTGCTCCATCTGTACGTGTCTTTTTTTTCTTCTTAGTAAGTATATGCAAAACTTTAATCGATGCGATTGCTGCTGCCTTTGATGTTTCCAAGAGTTTGGTAAAAGTAGATTATTGCTTTGAAACTAATGACTTTAATAATGAAAGTTTATTTCTTTGAAGTTCAGAAAGTTCATAACACTCTGAATCAAACTTCAGATGAACCATTTTAAAATGTCTGTCATGGTTACTTTTCTTTGGAATTGCTATACTTTTATTGCACAATAAGCATATATATTTGTCTTTGTGATTTATAAATCAATACTGGTGCTCCCATTCTTCATTAAAATTATAAGTGTATGATCACTTGTGTTCATCGTTATAAGTTAATCGTTATAAGTGCTTTCATTATGGATTGTTACAATCATGAGTATGTAAGGAAATCTGTGTAAGAAAACATCCTGGATGATTAGACAGTACATAAATGAATCTGTTAAATATGAATTAATCAAAATTGTTGGAGGCAGACAAAGTAGACAGATGTCTTGTTTTTCACCTGCTAAGTCTTTCTCTCGGCACGTACTGGTGATTGTGTCAGAGAAGTTACAGTAAATGCATCAACCGTGCTACATTGCACCCAGGACTAAACTTGCACCACACTGTACTGTCAGGTTGATCTGACTTTCAACTATGAAATGTTTTGAGCAGTGGCAATGCAATAAATTGGCTGTTTGACATGTATATGTAAAAATATATAATTTTCATGTGCATTATATAAACATAAACCAAAACTGCAAAATTGTACACACAAAGCAGCATATTTTAGTGCGGGTGCATTGGGATGAGGTGGTGGGCACTGTTAGCAACCCCTGCTTTTTAGGATATGCATTTGGAAGGCCATTGAACAATAAAATACAGGGGTTGGACAAAAATATGGAAACACCTTTAAAAAAACATGTTTCTTTGCTTAATATGGTGTAGGAAACCCGTTGGCATCCAAAATAGCCTGCAGTCTTCTCGGAATGGATAAATACAGTTCCTGTATGTTTGCCAAGGGAATATTATACCATTCTTCCTGCAAAACGGTGGCAAGTTCAGATAACGATGTTGGCGGTGGATAACGAGAACGCACTTTCCGTTCCAATGTAGACCACAAAGGTTCGATAATATTCAGGTCTGGTGACTGTGGTGGTCAGAGGAGATGGGACAACTCATCCTCGTGCTCAGAAAACCAGTCTTGGACAATGTGAGCTGTGTGAACAGGGGCTTTGTCGTCTTGGAAGACACCATCACCATCGGGGAACAAAGTTTGTACCATGGGATGAACTTGATCGACCAAAATGTTCACATAAGTCTTGGCAGTCATGTGCCCTGACACAGTTATCATGGGGCTAGCAGACAACCATGATATGACTGCCCAAACCATAACAGAACCCCTCGTCATGTTTCACTCTTGGCAACAAGCAGTCGGTATTATAGGCTTGAGATGGCGTTCTCCAGACTTAAACTCGGCCAGAAGTGGGAAACAATGTGAAAGAAGACTCGTTGAGACCATATTACTCGCTTCTACTGCTCTATAGTCCAGGCTTTATGACTTAAACACCACCTTTTCCTGTTACGGGCTTTAGCATCACTGATGAGTGGCTTCTCAATTGCAGCACGGCCAGCAATTCCCTGTTTATGAAGCTCCCTTCTAATTGTTTTGGTACTCATAGGGTTCAGTAATACAACATTCATTTCAGCAGTAACTTTTGCAGCTGTGGTCTTCGTATTTTTTGTCACAATTGCCCTTAATGATCGTCTGTCATGATCACTCAGGACACACTTTCGTCCGCGCTGTGATTTAGCAGATGATGTTTTTCCGCTTTTCAAATATGCGGAATAAATCTTCGATACAGTACCTATTGAAATACTAAACACCTCGGCTACCTTGCTTACGGAAGCACCTACCATACGTGCTCCAACAATTTGCCCACGTTCGAAGTCTGTTAACTCTGACATAATGCAATGACAACCTCACATAACAGTACTCTGAGAACAACTGAACTGTTTAGCACATTTGCGAAGTTGTATAGGTGGCATCAGTAGTCAAAAACGCCAGCGCCACCTACATATTTCATTAAAATTAATCTTTCTCTTCAAACATGCATTTCACAAGGTGTTTCCATATTTTTGTCCATTCACTGTAAAAACTATTAGGCAGTTATGTTATAAACCATTTATTTTATATTATGTGATTTTACCCTGAAAATTTCATCATTATTGTGTACATTGCAAATTTCCAGATGTATTGTGCTCTGTTTATTGTACTTGAGAGTATTAGACTAAGTTCCAGCAAAACTACTGTCAGTGATAAATTTTTGCTTTTTTGTGAAAATTATTGCATTGAACTGCTGCTCCTTTTCTAATTACCAATATGAGACATGTCATCCATATATTCATTCATGCAATTTATCATTATTTGAAAAAAAATTTTTTTGCATTTTTGCATCTTTAATTTATGACATAATTTTCTTTTTCTAGAACTTCTATTGAAATTAGTCCCTCAAATTCGAAGCTACTTTCTCGGAAAATCCATGGTAATTAATATATTTTAATAATCGCATGTTGTATGAAGATTAATTTTTTTTTACTTTTTAAAATTAGTCTTGTAATGCAGTTTATTTATTGTATCATTGCTTGTGTTTTAATGAAAAAAAATATGTAGAAATATCTTATAATTAATGTTTTATGTTGTAAACTATCTTAGTTGTAATGAATAATTTTACTTTTTTTTGACAAATAAGTTCACTTGTTTATTTTTTAAATTTGTTGAGAAAAATACCCAATTATGAAATTTCTTAATATGGGAAAATTTGATTCTTATGTTGCTCAATATTATGCAGCCAGGAAGTTTTAAAATATATAAATTGTACCTTTGTGTGAAATTTCAGCTTTGAAAAAGAAGATAAAACTCTTTGAAGAGCTCTATGGTTCCCAGGTAAGTCAAATAGTTTTAGTAGTTTCTTCCAAGCATCTAAATGCTACATTAAAGGTTTTACTTTAAAATTTGTTGCATCATAACATGAATGACAGCTATATCAGGGTTTGCACTTACTTAGATCCTGGAAAGTCAGCGAAAGTTAAAAAAAGTCAAGAAAAATGTGGAACTTTTCCAATAAGTCTGTAAAGTTAAATATATATATAATATAAATAAGTTCTTCCAAATAATAAAAAGTTTATCTTACATAGTAATCTATAAACAAAGACTGATTGTCGTAAAAAGAATACAAATAAAGAATTACTGTAATTGCCTGTCTTGCCGTGCTATCAAGCCATAACTCTCATCTATGCTTACTAGTAAAATGTTGTTCATTCTTCTCTTTCTATCATCCCTCTCTTTAGGTCCTTCAGAAATGAACAATGTAATTTAGAAGTCAATGCATTATATAGTAGTAAGTTAAAATAAATAACCGTATTAATTAAACCATTTTTAATTCAGCGTAATTCTTAGCTCTTTAATTTTATTTTGAAACACCAAGTTATTGAATTTTGTAAATTGTATTATGAATGATATACTGTTTTCTGTTTTTACTCTGTTGACCACCCCATGTACACAGTGGTCTGTTTTGGCTTTAAAAACACTAAAGAATTGTACAAATTAATTTCAACACAGCTTTGACTTTGTGTAGACATTAAACATTATATATATTATTTTTGTATACTTGTTTGGGACACATTACATAAGTAGATAATCATATTTATGAACAGTTTTTGTTATAAATGGTTTCAAACAAATGAACAGTTTTAGAATTAGTATGATGCATTATTTTGAATCTTGCATATAGCAATACAACTTGAATATTATTAAAATATGAAGTAAAATTATATGTATATGGAAATATTTTTAATCCTTGTCAGGGATTTTCAGTCTGCATTTCAACACAATTATGTATAAAACCAAGTGCATTACGTTCTCTGATCCATTCATATTTAAACTAAATGGTGTATAATAATAGGAAAAGTTACTTCCATTGATATTTGTGCAAAGAGCAATATAAGAAGCATAAATGACACATCTTTGGACAGTTTTAGGATGCATCAGATACTGTATGGAATATTAAAAAAAAAAAATAAATAAAAAAGGAAATAAAGGATTTACTGCATTTCTAAAGCTGGTAAATATGCAATTTTAGGGTCTTTTTATTTATGCAATTTTAGGGCCCAACCCCCAATCCCGGGGGGAAAAAAAAAATCCAGCAGAGATAAAATTGTTGAAACAAATTCATTTAATGTACATTTTTTTATATGTTATGATTCACAAAATCTTGCATTATATATAAAAGTTTCTTTGTGCAAAAAAACAGTCTTTAAATTCATAATTAAATTAAAGATATTAATATTGTATTATTTCTTTTAGTCTTCTCATACAGAAAAATCTACTAGCATTGCAATGAAAAAAATGCTTGCAGAATTGAATAAGGCAAGACAAGATCTAAAAGGTTTGTGATCATTATGAAGAATTATATGTAATTACTTATTAACCCTTTCCCAGACTAAATATCAGAAAATTAAATTTCATCAAATAGCTGTAATTGAATTTCATCCAGCTATATTTGTTTGAATATTTTTTATACTAAACATATGTAATATGGGCAGGTATTTTTAATACTAAACACATATTTAATTTATTTCACTTTTTACTCTATTATTATTATGTAATAATAATACAGGCTAATATTAAAGTGATATAATAATGTATAGTAATACAGGATAGCTATTTATTTGGGTTTTTCAGAAAAATATTTAATGCTGTAACATTTTGCATTTCTTAACCAACCAGTGCATGTTTTATCTACATGCTTGCATATTACATTTGAAAGTTGAAATAAAAGTTTTCTGTACCTCTTTTTTAGTATGTATATCAGTGTTTGTATACATGAATGTACACAGTCCAGTCACATTAATGGGACCATCTGTCAAAAGCCAGAATAACCACCTTTCGCAGAGCGGACTGCTGCGAGACGTGCAGGAAGAGAGTCACATAGGTCCCTGAAGGTGTTCTCTGGGATGTTGAGCCATGTTGACTCTAATGCCGTGGCCAGCTGCGCTAGATTACGCGGTTGAGGATCCATGGCGCGAACAACTCGATCGAGATGGTCCCACAGATGCTCGATTGGGTTTAAGTCAGGTGAGTTTGCTGGCCAGGGGAGGACGGTAAACTCATCCTGGTGCTCTTCGAACCACGCACGTACACTGGCAGCTGTATGGCACCTCGCATTGTCCTGCTGGAAGATGCAACATTCTGATGAAAAACAATGCGCATGTAGGGGTGAACATGGTCCGCAAGGACAGAGAGCGTACTTGTATTGATCCATTGTGCCTTCCACAATGATCAGTGAACCTAGAGAATGCCAGGAAAACATTCCCCAGACCATAATGCTCCCGCCTCCAGCTTGGACCGTTCCGGAAATGGTTGCAGGGTGGTTCCTTTCAGAGGTTTCACGCCTTATACACCAACGTCCATCTGTCCGATGGAGCATAAAACGCGATTCATCCGAAAACGCAACCTGTCGCCACTCAGTGGACATCCAGCTGCTGTACTGGCGTGCAAATTCTAGCCTTTGCCGTCGATGAACAGCAGTCAGCATAGGTGCACGAACCAGGCGTCTGCTTCGGAGGCCCAGACGCAGCAATGTTCGCTGAATAGTACTTTGGGAGACACTTTTGGTAGCCCCTTGGTTCATTTTGGTGGTCAGTTGCTCAACGGTAGCCCGTCTATCTGCCCGAACGCATCTCCGCCTCTGTCAACCGTCGTTCGCCTCTGTCATCTATGGCCCGTGGTGCACCACATTTGCCACGTCGCTGATTTTGGAAGTCCCATTTTGCCATGCACGGTACACTTTTACCACGGCGGCACGCGAACAGTTCACAAACTCAGCCGTTTCGGAAATGCTTCCACCCTTGGCCCGAAAGCCAATGATCATGCCCTTTTGGAAGTCGGATAAATCGCTTCGTTTTCTGCATTACACCAACAATTGAAATGTTTTCCGAAGCCCTCACACACCCTTTATATACGCTCAACTGCACTGTGCTGCCACCTGCCTTCTGTGATTGGTTATTTAACTCTGACATGGAAAGTACATGGTGGTCACATTAATGTGACTGGACTGTGTAAGTGCCTGTTTGTATTAGGGGAACTGATACAAGGTAGTTTTTGAAATTTCCAGTGTAATCATTTGGAATGTCAATTGAAAATATTGATTACTGCTGACCTAATCAATATAAGCAGGATTCTATCTCTTATGGAAAGCCAGGAATGTCAGAAAAGGAAAAATGCTCAAGAAAACCTATCAAATGAAAAATTTTCTAGAAAATTAAGAAAGTTAAAGAAAAAGTATTGCTCAGTCATCTCAAATAATAAAAAATTTCATATTTTAAATTATGCAAAATAACCAATAATTGCCAATCTTAAAAAGAAAGCAAATAAAGAATTACTATAATCCTTGTTTTTCTTTTAGAAAGAATGTTACTACCTCATATCTAATACTAGTTTATCTAGCCATAATTTTATGTGTATTAGTGAACTGTTATTCAGTCTTCTTTTTAAATATGCAACTGTTATATTACTTCTCTCTTTAAAAGTGTAAATGGTCTTAAAAATAAGTAGTATAATTAAGAAGTTATTAATCAATAACTATATTAATTAAGCATTTTTTCAGTCTAACATTATTTTAAGTTCCTCAGATTTATTTGTAATACAAAAGCAGTAATATTTATTATGAATAATACATTCTTATAAATTTCTGTTGCAGAATGGTTAGTTTTTCCTAAGAGTATGATATTTTGTTTTAAAAACTCTACCTAATTTGTTGAATGGTTTAGAGATATATTTCCTGTGTATATTTCTTTCAGTTGCTTTATAGTAACAAATAAAATAAATTTTCTCATTATTCTTAATTATTGCAATTTATCCTGAAGTAAGTACATAGAATCATTAGTACATAGAATCATTTAGTTATTCATATTTAATTTGAAAACTAATTCATTATGGTTGGTCATGGAAATTCAGGAAAATGAAAAGTTGATTTTCAATGAAAACTCTAAAAAAGGAAAATCTTGAGATTCTGTGTAGGCTTTTGAACTTTAATTGCAACTGCTGAGGTGGGAGAGTGGTTAGTGATTCTGACTGCCATACCTAAGGGCCTGGGTTTAAATCTGGAGAAGATATGGATGTAATTTGTCCATCCCGAGGAAGCAATGGTGACCCATCTATTAGGTGCCTTCATAATATAGAGACCACCACTTTCGACCTTAGTAGTGACGAGCCTCTATAAATGGCTAGAGGCCACCATTCGAGAGGGTGATTGCAGCCATAATATTTTTGTCTGGCTTATCAAAATATACACCTCTGTTTCAGAAGAGGTTAGGTAGAGTAATGCTGTATGCAGTGAGTTAAAATTGCTTTACCATTGAGTCCTCTTCTTTCAATAGAAAAGATACTGAAGAAAGAATATATTCAAAATACACGATTCCATCATGTAAGAGACAATATCAGGAATAAAAACTTGAGAAATTTCCTAATATAATTCATAACTTAAATAAGTGAATACAATTAGTCAGAAAGTAAAAAAGAAGTGATTTATGCTTTTTAATGTTAAGATCATGAAGAAAGAAGAAATTTGGTAAATTCAGTTTTAGGAAAGTACTACCTTCCCACTTTCACCACCAACAAATGTAAAAAATAAATACTGTATATTTTTATTTGTAAACCAAAAATTTTAGTAAATTTTTTATGACCGATTCTTGACTTGTATTTGAGTTCAAAATGATTTACAATAATGGGATCACAAAAATGATAGTAATAGGCTAAATAATTGAAAAATATTATTTTTTATTTTATTTAATCTAATCAAATTTTTGAATATCGTTATTCATCTCAAAATTTTCTAGTAATTCTCAGAGCCTATGCTTCAGGCAAATCTAAGTGAATGTCATTGTCCTCAATTTCACCATTAACATCATTGTTGTTCACCTTGTAGATTCTGCTGTGTCATTGGCAGATTTAAAACTAGCAGTATACACAGTCAATTTTATGTCTAAACATCTCTCTCTGCATAACTGAAATAATGAACCATATATTACTCACAAAGAGTACAAGTGAGGAGGAAAGAATCTTGTCAAAAATCATACCCAAATTTACAGCCAAAATAAAATTCATCACACTATTGCCAGAATGTCAAGTGATGCATATGCCCAGAAGTTTGTAAAATTAAGAAAGGGAAATTATAATCACCAAATGCTCTTTTTACAATGCTTTTACCTTTGTTTTTCGAATGGAAGTTAAAGATGAACTGGCATTTACCTCTAACTTATTGGATAGATCTAGCTAAGTTAGATAATTGATTATTCAGTCTTTTGGAGATATGCTTAGGTAGATCGAAAAATTTTTCATACTGATAGAAAAAATTGTTTAATATTGAATTCCTCTTGCAAACATACAATAGCAGTACTAAATAGTAAATTAAAAAAATGATAAACAAAAAATTTTGAAGCTTTGTTAGAGAATGTTCTTTTTCTGACTAATTAAGTGATATGCTACTTTGTTCTGAAATATTTAAAATCGAGTATCGATCTATGATTTTTTTTTTCTAAAGGGATTCTAATTCCAAAGAAACATCACGTGGATCATGTGTGTGACAATTTGGCTTTCTTTTCTGTAGTGAAATGATAGGTAGAACAATTTTGCTTGGTCTGAAAATCCATAGAAGATGATTCTCATATCACATGACCATTGGAGGCTTTGACATAAAAAATATTTTTTGTGACCAGAAGAATATTGAGAAGTAGAAGATTGTAAGTCAAAAAGATAGCAAGATTGGAATTATCTTTAAAAAGTACCATGTATTGTTTTTCTATATGCTGATCAGTTTACTCAGAAACAACATGGATGTTGCCATTAGAAAGTTTCAAAATTTGTTCCCTGTCACCATAGCTGTGAGAGCTCTGTTGGTTTAACTCATGATAAATCTCTAGTACCTTCAAAAAATAGTATTTGAAATTTCATTTTGATTGGCTGAGTGGAGAGGATGCTGTAGATTCATATATCAGGGCCACTATGGGTTCATATATAAATTTTTTATGACCATCCTGTATATACCCACCTATCCCTACCTGGTTTAAAGTCCTTACCCAATCCTTATTTTTATTATTGTTGGTCGTAGTCATATACTTCCAATTGCAGAAGTATTTTAGATGACAAAAATATTCATGTTTTGGCAATGTCAGATTTAAAAAAAAAAAAAAAAAAATTTGGACAAATAATGAAACCTAACTTTTAATGTAGTCTTCTGTTTCCTATACTTGTATTTGATAAAATTTTACACTTGTTATTAAAAAATAAAAATACAAGAAGTTTGTCTCCCATACGACAAAAATTGACCTGGATATTTAATTTCAAATTTCACAGTTTTTCTTATGGCATCTTCAACTTGCCTTGAGAGATACCAAAAATGTGTATAATTTAATAGGTGTACAAGGAAGTGATGATATTCATATCAGATTTTTATTTTGCTTTCATGTGCCACATGACTATCAACTCATGCCAGCTTGAAAAATAATTTATGCAGAAATTTTTAAAACTTTTTTTTAAAATTTTAATATTATCAATTTGAATACCAAACAGCATAGTAATCTTTAACATTAAAATTATGCTTGATTACAGACTTCAGCCAACTGCATCGTGAAGCGTTGAGTGTTGTTGATGAAGAGAAATTTAACAGAAATTTCTTTCCATGTACAAAAAATAGATTTTATAAATGATACTCAATAGTCCAAAAGATTATATTCAGCGCTGTTTGATTGAGAATAACTGATTTGTTATTCAGATAAGCTCAGCACCGGCACAAGAGATGGTGCAGCCACAGAGAATCAGAATTTAGGGAAAACAAAATATTTAGAATTTAGAGAAGCACCAAGAAGCAAAATTAAGGGATGGCAAAATCTTTAGAATTTAGGAAAGTGCTTGAGAGCAGAATTTAGGACCTTTAGAGATTGCACCAGATTATAGAAGAGTGCAGCAATGTAGTAACAGTTTTTGTTGGAGATGCAGTTTCAGGTAGAATGTGCTGGAGATGGTTAGAAACATTTGAAGCAGTTGATTTTGGTCTTAATCATAAGCTACACTTTGGGTGGCCATCTCTGATCCACGACAGTGTTGTCAAGACCATGATGGAGCAAGATACTTTTGACAACATCGGAGATTTCAGAAAAGCTTAATTTAGCTGAACAAATCATTTCGGACCATAATCCAGAACCTAGGATTGGTCTATAAATATTCCATATTCCAAATGGGTGCCTCTTGAGTTAAGTGAGAAAATTTTCATATGCATATCTCTGCATGCTTGGAACAAAAATGAACTCATTTTGGACCAGATGATAACTGGAGATGAAAAATGGATTACTTGCAAACACATAGTTAGGAAAAGAGCATATTGTGAGCCTAGACAACCTACTTCCTCCTCTAAACCAAGTTTGAGCCCGCATAAGAGAATGCTGTGTATATGGTGGCACATCTGAGGACCAAAACATTATGGCTTTTGAAACCATAAGAAAAGCTGAATTCAGAGAGATTCTATCAGCAAATTAATGATTTAAACAAGGCAGTCTCAGAAAAGAGGCTAGTGGTGTTCAGTAAGAATATCAAACTGCATAATGATAATGCCAGACCACATTCTGCTGTTGTGGCTCGTCAAAAAATCGCAGAGCTAGGCTGGGAAATTCTGCTACATCCACTGTATTGTCCAGACCTAATATCGTCCGATTATCATTTGTTTCTCTGCTCACAAAATTTTTTGAAGGGTTAAAAATTCAAAACTGAAGCAGATATCAGCAAAGCACCACTTTTATTCTTTGCCTCAGGGGTTAAAACATTTTTAAAAAATAGTGTCTACAAATTAACATCGTGCTGGGAAGAGGTCATAAGTAATGACAGAAATTTTATTGTACAATAAATATTTTTAAAGGTGTGAAAATGTATTATTATCTTTCACTTCCCAAGTGGACAGAATTTTCTGGTAGACCTTATAGATGTTAACATAAATTTGAAAACAATTCATTTTCGCTTAAAAATTCAGTTTTAAAGTAGTTTTCTAATGTTTATTTAAACGTTAGTGTCTTTAGTATAGTTAAAAAATCAAAATAAACTTTTTCAAGATAAAACATACACAAGTATTTAATGAAAACTGTTTTCTAACCTGAAAAACATGATTCTGATGACAAGCATGATTGAGCTTTCAGTGGAAAGTATTTTGGTCAAGAATATGTATTGAATCATTCTGATGCTTGAAATGTTCTTATAATCTTCAAAAAACAAACTTTGGAGTGTTCCTTTGTAGACATTCGTTGATGTGTATTGTAATTGTGTAAAAGTTTAGCATATCCAGCTTGCATGTGAAAAATCTGCTCGCAGATGTGCTGGGGAAGTTTTCGATGTTCAACATCACCTTGGGAAGACAAGGGTGGGGGCCCTAGGAACAAGGGAACTAATACACTTGATCTGCAAGAGGTTAACACACTTCTCCATCACAAAAGAACTATGTGACTGAGTATGAATGAAACCAATCAAAGACAAGTCCTGGTCAACAGCACTAGCCATATCTCACCCCTGCACTCAGATCTAACACTATGAAGAAATGGTGGGTTGAATGTCACTCGTAAAAGTTGGAACATGAGAGAAAACGAACGCACCTCTCCACGGAAGAACTCAGCGAAGCGCACGAACAAATCTGCCACATCTGCTTTGGAGTCAGTGTTAGCCAAATCCTCGACTCCTCCACAGCCATGCCCATGAAAGGCTTTAGGCCCAGAAAGTCCACTGCCAAGCAGAAAAGGTGACTGCTCATGCCACATTCCATCACGGACAGCCCCAAGTTGAAATGCTAGTCCATGCTTACGTGCTGACCAGATCAACTCCCGAGCTTCTATGCCTACACAAGAATTGAGATATGATGCAATGTGTGTTTTATTCTTCTCCTGTGATTCAAATTCCACAAGGGCATAGTTGATTTTTCCTATTTCCTGATGTGAAATGCCTTATATTCTCTACAGTGTTGTATTAAATTGTATTTTATTACCTTCTTCCACATGTCTTAGTAAATATTACCACTGCACACAATATTGCACTGCTACACATAGTTGTAATAAAGGCCATAGATTTTGATACTCACTGATATCTTTATTAATGATTTACGTTAATTTATTGCACCACCCCACAGTGACGTATGAATTAATTGCTGGTGATTGTCAGCTCGCAGATCACCTGTGACAAAAAGTTTTGATAGATGGAATTAGCGTTCTTTGCTTTATTTTAATAGTCTATCTGAATACAATGCATTGCTATACTCCAATGACTTTCAGTCTGTAAATCACCTGTGAACAATGACCTTATATTCACGTGTGTTCTTCAATTTACTTTTTATGTTATAAGTGATTTAAGCAGAATTTTTCCAAAATATTTTCATTATACTACAATTTTATTGGGATACATTTACCATTCATGTGAATTGCAAATATAATTAGTGGGCATAACATAAAATCTTTAATTTATCTTCCATACAACCTCACAAATAGCCACTCCTCTGAATGTTGCCATTTGGCCTAGCTATTCAGATCTTTACTTTTATTTTTTCACATTTAAACAATCTGTATTGCTTAACAAGCTGAGCAATTTAAAAGATTAAATATGTTTTTTTATAAATTATTGTGCTTGCCATACTATGCCAGTGACTGTTAACTCATATGTCACCAATAATGAATGGTCTCAATGCGTGATGATTATTGATGATGTCTAAAATCACTTATAACTCACCATTAAGCAGTAGCTTTTACATTTTATTTTCATAATCTGTCTAAATTTGTGTGCTAATTTAGGTTGACTAATGTCATTCCATGGACCATCAGTGACAAATGACCTTGACAGTCACTTTTGAATTTATTTCATTTTAATAACCATGTTTACTTTATATAACATAAAATTTATTTAATTTATAATATGCCCAAGTAATAATTTTGATCAACATTTGTGGCACTATGAATAAAAGACATTTTTAATGCTGTATGTTATGTACCTAATGCAGACTCATTTGTTTGGCTTTTTCAAGTTATTTCTTGTATATTTATTCACTAGAATGTACTCAGATATAACAAGCTTTTATTTTTAGAATTAAAAGAAGAGCCTGTGATCTGGGATGCTTGTGAAACCACTCAAAACAAGAATAGCAAAGCAACAAATACTCGGTGTAGTCAAGGTTTATTTTCCCTTGGTAGTGGTAATTCAAACATGAGTATTGAGGATTCAGTAAAAGAAGCACTGGAATTCCTAGCAAGGCATCGAAAGGAAGGGAAAAGGCCTGAAGCTCTTGAAGTAAGTCATTACTGATGCATTCTTTGTATAGAAAGTCTGTTCAAAAAGTTTTTTGAATTTTATATTTGGTCAGATTTGCAATGTATCCTTTCATAGAAATTCTTAATGATTTTTTTAAGGAACTCTTATTATTGAAGGCCTACAGTTCTTTGCACTAAATTATTTTAGAATTACTGCTATCAAAAATCAAACTATGTGAAGGAGTACAGTGGATGTTATAAATGCAGCTGAATCATTGGCTAGAGATCCATAGCATTACTTGTTTGTAAGAACTAGGTCCTTCAGAGCTGTTGAATCCTTATTTATTAATAAAAAGACATTTCTCTAATTCTTGTTGGCTAAAGGAAATCACAACACTGTCTTGCAGAGTAATAAAAATTTCCACAAGTATGATGAAAAATTAAAATATATTGGTTCTGTGATAAATATTTGTCATCATCATACAGACAAATGTGTTCTAATCTGATCCGAAAACTGAACTATTTTTTCCAGCATTAATTATGAACATTTTGAAAGTGCCAGTTTTAACTGCTTATTTTAATTCAAGCATTTTATTACTGTGTATAAAATGTTAAATGTGTATTGAAACATACATATTTGAACCTAACCTATCCATGATAAATAACAAAGTTAATCAAAATAAAAGGATTAAAATAGATCAGACAATGCTTTGAGTAGGAATTCTCAAGCAACAGGCAATAGTGGCACAAATGGCCGTATGCTTCATATTATAAACAATGCAATTACATCTCATCCAATAAGAGATGTGAAACTGAATTTAACAAATTCGTGTTCAGACTGTAATTTAGCTTTGTATTTTGATTCTGCCTTTTTGTTTGCTATTTTTTTAATTTCATTGGTTTTTATATATTTAATTTTCCTCGCGTAGCTGTGGAGCCCCTGAAAAGTGTACGTGCCTTAGGGCTGTGTGGACACAGGGAACCGCTGATCTATGCCCTTGATAAACCCATGATCTGGGAAGTTAAGGATAAAGACATGGAGAACCTACTAGATGATAAGGAAAACAAACTCAACATGAAAGAAATACAACTTCAGAATCTGCGATAACTACTGATTTTGGAAGAAATAAATGCATTTAGAAAAAGAGAAAGAAAGAAATTTTATTCATTTTTTTACTCATGAAATTTTGTAAAATAGTGTAAAATATGAAGTTTTTATCTAAAAATTGCACCCAGATAAAGCAGTAGCAAGTACAGTATTGATATTTTCAATGACAATGTCATGTCTCACTGTAAAAACACACAATAGCAAATCACATTAGGCAAATTTTGAGTGAAATATAGGTTCAGTGATTCTCAAGCAGAATTGAGTGGTGCTTAGAAACAAAGAAAAGATAAAAAGGTATACCCTGAAGATAAATGAAGATATTTTTATAGAAGGGAATTTCATATACAAACAATAACATCTTTTTCACAATTTTCTAGTTACGTTGTCCGCTTATCTTTGTACAATACAGTACAGTCAAATTAAGTTTTTGTCTTTTTTATCTATTCGACTATCCTTTAGTATAGCACACCCAGATTTTTCACCAGAAAAATATCGCCAAGCATAACGATAAATGATAGGATGGGCTAACGTATACCATTCGGCAAATGCTATGTAAACAACCATAAATTTCTGGAATTACAGTGGCAGCTAACATTTACAGCTAATAGTGGTCAATTACATTTATTCACTTTCAATACAAATATTCATTAACTCAAAATTTTGTCAAATTTTGAATGAGGGCTATACTAAAGCTGTTCAACCTTTTCTTTAAAATTTTATTTATTTAATAATTTGAGTTTGTTTTCAGATTATGAACTTGTGGAAAGTACTGTTTAAAGTTTAAATAAGCAATCATCGTTTGTCCAGGAACAAATTAATCCATTTTACATTAATTCCTATCGAGGAAATTGTTTTAGTTTATAAGCATTCTGGTTCACAAATGGCCTTCAAGCAGAATTAAATTCATGAACCAATGTTTCTCTGCATTTGAATTTTTAGTTCTTCACATAATTTCAACATATGGCATTTACATATAATTTTGATATAGGTATGGAATATATGAGCTAATATCAAAATGTGAATGCAACATTTTAAAAGTCGTAAATAAATATTTTATTGATTAGTTTCATGGTTAACAATTAGGAATTGCTGATTTTATCATTATATACACTCACTTCCAAAAGTTAAGTGTGAGGAAAATGCTAATTTCTGGAAGCCAATCAGAATTGAAGAGGATGCAATTCGCTGCAGAGGTAAATATGCAAATATGTTACGTAACAGCCAATCGTGCTTTCATGTCAAGAAATATGGGGGAAAAAAAAAAAACAGTCTTATAAGAAGCTAGTTTTATGAAGGGTTACAGAAGTTGATTGTAAGTGCTGATAGAAGATGTTTAAAACTTTCATACAATTTTTTCAAGACATATTTGTTTCTATGACTTCCAGAAGAAGAATGAAAGATTCTGAGCACTGGCGTGCTGTGGGGCGCATTGAAGCAGGACAGTCGATCAGGAGTTTGTGTTCCTCTATCTGTCCAATCAAGAGGGGCACGATTACAGTGGTGCCGGGAACATGCCAATTGGAATGTGTCTGACTGGGGCAATGTCATGTTTACTGATGAGTTAAGATTTGCTGAGTAACATTGTCAATGAAGAAATGGCTAAATGATCAATGGGTTTGGCCATTCCTGAGGAATTCTGTCAAACAAGTGCCTGAAAATTTGCTCTTTTCCCCTCCAGAAGAATGAAAATATAATACACTTTTTTGAATTGAACACTTTGTGCTACAAATTTATGCTATATTATAAAAATGATATGTTTTAAACCATAGATTTTATTTATTGTTATTGCTGAAATTAAATATTCCATTTAATAGGAAATGAGTAGAGATGAATTGGTGGCAGAAAAAGTAGCTATTCAAAAAGTATTGCTAAACTTTGAAAGTATGCATGGCAGACCTTCATCCAAGACACATAGAGAACTCGTTCGACCTCTGTATGACAGATATCGATGCACAAAAAGACTGATTGCCCGAATTAATGCTAGTAAAGACTCAGCTGAACTACAACCAATCTTAGAACATGAAACAATGCATTTTGAAACTTCAGAACAAACCAAAGATGTGAGTATTAAATTTTGAACTTATTGTTTCCTTATAAAATTATTTTCCTGGGTTGTTTTTTAATCATGGATAACATTTTTAAAGTGTAGCTATGCAGTTTTCAGATACAGTATAACCAGGCTCGTCGGGACTTCGGCAATTCTGTAATGTATGCTTTACGCATGCGCACGTTGAAAGAAATGTTTAAAAAAGTAAACAAATAAATATAAAGCTCTTTTTTTTTTTTTTTTTTTTTTTTTTTTTGTAAATTTTGATACTCTTTAGATTATAATTTGCTCTTATTTCATAAATTATGGTTTCATATTTTTAATTTTATAATTTCTGTATGCCATCTTACCAGATTTAAACTGATGATCTATAATCCGGAAAAAACGATAATCCGGAATCGCCGAAGTCCCGACGAGTCCGGATTAAAGACTTTTGACTGTATTAAGAAATTTGTGAAAAACCCACGTTTCAGTGCTGTAAAAGTTTCTGCAGAATTTAATGCAAAGTTTTCTACTTCAATTTCACCTGAAACTGTTCGAAGAGTTCTCAGAGAAGCTGGATTACATGTGCGTTCTGCCCGTAAAAAATTTTTTGTTGATGAGAAAAACAGAAAGCTTCGGCTTTCATTCGCAAAATCAATGATAAATATACCTGAAACGTACTGGAACTGCTTGATGACGAAAGCAAATTTAACATTTTTGGTTCCGATGGTCGAATAACTGTATGTAGAAGAAAAATGAGGAACTTCATTCTAAGAACTTAGTTGGAACAGTTAAGCATGGTCGTGGAGGTGTTCTTGTGTGGGGGTGCATGGCAGCATCAGCACTAGGTAATTTGGTATTTATTGATGGCATAATGAATTATTCTCTTTATTTAAATATTTTAGGAAACAATTTAAAATTATCAGCCCAAAATTTGGGTATTGGAAACAACTTTATTTTTAATCATGATAACGAACCTAAGCATACGGCTCTCAACATTCACTGTGGTGTCTCTATAATTACACGTCTATCCACAGGTTTAAAAAAAAAACATTCACCAGATTTAAACCCCATGGAACACATTTGGAAAGAACTGGAGGTTAAAGTACGAAAACATGACATGAAAATATAATACAAACATAAAAAAAACTAGTAAAATCTATTCCCAGATGCTTAAAAGCTGCTGTGGATGCTAAAGGATATCCTACTAAATATTAATTTAACGAAAAATGAAAATATTTACTAATATGTCAAGATTTTTTGAAGTGTACGAAGACTTTTGTGAAATAAAATTTTTGTCATTTTTTGATTATTAATTTTTTTTAAATAAAGTTTCGCTATGGGAGCTACTGTATATCAGATTTATATGTAGCATTGTTTTAACATAGGTATTTGACACAAAATTGGACTTTTCTGAAATAACTTACTAATTTTTTTCCATATTTCGATTCAGGGACTCAAATTAAGCCTATATATTCAAATTGTAAAATTTGGTGTGAAATTTATGGAAAACTTCAAAAATTTATCTTGCCACAATTTTTTCAGTTTTAGCTAAGAATAATTCACTTGGCGAACTTCTTAATATGTGGCAACCGATTTTCCTTTCCCTTCCATTATGCCATAGCGGAAAAAAAGGCACCTCGTTTTTACCTTTTTACATTGTGGGTGAGAAGAATAAAAGTCACATCGTTTCTACTTCCAAATAATTTTAGCAAAGTGTCTAAACCACATTTGATGTTTTATTGCTCTCAACAAATATGCCAAATTTCAAAATGAACCAATATATAAATTCACGTATATCTTCGGAAATTTTGAATAAAAAACTGTAATTTTTTGCAGGTATGCTTAGAAATATGTCTACTTTAAGATGATGGTAAAAATTTTATAGATTATAATTCAAAAATGTTTTTGAAAAATTTATAAAAATTATTTAAAAATAAAAATTTTAAAAATAAATCATAAAAAGTGGATGAATTTTATTTGGAATGAACCTAAGTTTCAAAATGTGAAAGGAAGTATCAAATAAGTGTATTAAAAAAAAGAGAGATTAATAAATGTATACCAAACTCAATTAATATTGAGGAGCTAAAATTTGGAGAGCTAATTTTTAAAAGAATTACTCATGCGATTTTTACAAAACTTGGTAGTTTGGCGTAATTTGAGTCGTAGAATCGAAACATGGAAAAAAATTGGTATGTTATTTCAGAAAAGGTCCGATTTTGTGTCAAAATACCTGTATTAAAAAAATGCTATATATAAATATCCTAAGTCGCTCGAGACATGAAAAACGCAAGTGGAATTTTTGAATTTCGTCAGTCAGCTGAGTAGAACGAGAGATTTAGAACTGTTCTTTTTTTTTTTGTGTGTGTGCAGGGTACATTAACGTATCATGTCTTTTCGATGGGCAGAGACCAGGAATCCAACGGTGTTGGTGTATTGCTTAAATAACCTGTATTTTCTGGAGATTTGAAGATAATGTTTTTAGAACTAATCCTTATATTTGTTCAGAATTCATTTTTCTTCCATATCATGCCATTTTTGTCAACATAATTTTGATCATTTGACACATTTTCTAATTCAGTGTCTGTTAATGAATTATAATTGTATATTCTTCATCCTCTTCGCGTGAACGACTCATCACCTGTTGAAATGGCTTCTAATATATTTCTCAGCCTTTCTATTTCTTTATCATAACATAGATGCCGCATTATGCTGACTGACTAAGAGAGTGAGGATGAAAATCTGAGAGACACGAGAAGGTGCGCGGATGTCGCTAACTCCGATGGTGCTATTCTGAAAAAAGTATTCAAAGAATCACTCCACGGCCTTCCCAGCTTCAAGAATAAGACTTTAAATTCAGCTACAAAACATTTTACCCATTTCATGAAAAGGGGGTTGGAGATAAGGAACAAAGCATATGCTCCCGGGTAAAAATTTTACATTATGAACATATGAGGAAAGTTGTTTGGAAAATTATAAATTCTATTCGGCCTAGACCATTTCATAGTAGATTGTTCAAAATATTGACTGAAGAAATTGATGCTGAGTATGATACCATAATGTTAAATTTTGAATTTAGATATCTTATTAAGGAAAAAGTTTTACAATGACTTTTAAATCTTCCAGGGATAAAGTAATTTTTAGAATCCAGAACTGAAACTTATGAAGAACTTAGTGATCATAGTTGGTGATATGATTTAGCCTTTCTTGCAGACACAACCAAAATGAATAAACGAAATGTTAAACTTCAGAGCAAAGAAAAGACTATTATTGCACTAATAGAAATATAAACACATTTAAATCAAAGTTAATTTTATAGAAAATTTGTAATATTTTCCACAAATGAAAGAATGTAACTTTTGTCACTTTATTTGAAGAACTAATTCAATAATATAAGAAAATTGAATGAAACAGTTGAATAGTCAGAAAATCTCGTCAAGCATAAAAATAATTTCAAAATTAGATTTCTGATTTTCTTAAAATTCAGTCCATTGCTTCATTCTTTTCAAACTCATTTGTTGATACTAATATTTCCGAAATATCGCTACAGATTTCAAATATGTTAAATAAAAAATTCTACTGATCTAGAAATGAAATAACTAATTCTCAGCCTAATTTACGATTAAAAACAAGATGACAAACTGACTTTTTGGTATTCCTAGATGGAAAGAGGGAAAAAAAAAGAGCTCTTGGAAGAAACTTTTTAAAGGTTTAACTTCTTCCTGCAATTGCGAACAATTGCGAAAAAAGTTTTTCAAAAATAAACTTGTTAAAATCGAATTTAGATCCAGGATTACAAATTAGCATCCAAATTACTGCATGAATTTAGCCATAAAATCATATGTTTCAAAGTAGAACAAACTCACAGAAGACTTGCAGCGTCAGGTTTCACATTACAAAACACAAGAAAAGCATGGTAATCTTTTCCTGTGTCTGATTTACATCTTAATGAATTTTTAGTAAATAGATACTCAAAAGTTAGTAATAGATACAATAAAGAATAAGTAATTACACTGTGTATTAACATATTATACCGCACATTTTTATTTTATAACTGAAATATTAAAAGTTCAATATATAGTTGTGGATCGCCAAATTTTTTAAAATTCTGAATTGGCTGTGAAAGAGCTTGAGCACCACTGCATTACAACAACCAGTACAAAACATCTCTAACTGATGGGAGTACATTAATGGCATTTTCGCTACAGCAACCACTCATTATAATATTCTTTCTCTGTACAATGCAAGAGGTCATTATACCAAGCATCATCTATAGTTTATTAATTTGAAATGTTGAATTTTTAAAGTTAGGCCATAATGAAGGTTTAAATTTTAAACTTGGTGAATGTGTTTCATTATTTAAATATTGCAAGAAAATAACAAACATGCATATTGTTGTACAAATAGAAAAGTTCATTGATGCATTTAATACTTCATTAAATCATTCCAAGTATAAAACTGCTAATAATACTGTTAGATCTTTATGCTGTTGAAGATTTCAGTATGAGTAACATCATATTAAAGTATATTCTTTAAGATTTCTGAATATTCAGTAGTATCATCTTAAAGCTTAAATTTTAGGGCTTGCATTTATTTCTGTGGCATTGAATATTCTGGTACCCTTATCTAATTTTATATTACATGCATTTACATACATTTAAATGTCATAGATTATTATTTAGATTAAATTTAATTTTTAATTTTAATTTGATATTATAGTTATTTTACGTTTATAGGAAAGAGAAGTTCAAGTTGTCGTGGGAGAAGCAAAAACCAGTCATATTTTTGAAAATGGGGGGAAAGGCTCAAAGATGGCTGGATTACAGCATATCAATTTTCATGAGTTATCTCTGTAAGTAACAATGTTAATTCAAATCCTAAGTAAGGCTATTTGTAACAGTAGTGTCTTTACAGAATGCAACCACTTAAAATTTGTTAAGGCAAAAGCATTGTTCAGAGGTTGCTGGTAGTAGAAAATAAATAGCAAGATTGTCTGATTCCATTCACTGGATTGCTATCTGTCAAAAATAAGATGGAGCTTAAGCGAATAATCCTAAAATAACTTTTCTAAATAAAAATTTCATTTGGAATCTTCATCACTATATTTCCATTTGCATATCAGTTGTAGATAGATATCTGTTTCAAAGTTGTGTAAGAATAAATGCTTGAAACTGTATTCCTGCTGTGAGTTCAACTTTGGTTAACCCTTTGCGGCACAGTGTGTCCGGTCTGGACACACCTAAAAATTTCCTTCTGTATGCACAGAAAAATTGAATGAAAAAGGACTTCTAGGTTACTATAGGTTACTCTGAACCTTCTTTATTTATAGTAGATGGCAGCTCAACACAAAACAGTCCATATATTTTAGCCATGTTTAGTTTTTTAAGACCCTCATTTTTCAAAGAAATCTTCCAGATTTTTTTAGGGTATAAAAGGAATTGTTTGAAAAGAAATGTCTATGTCATTTTTTTTGGCTGTATGCTAATCTACCTATTCTATATTAGTTTAAAATTTTTACCTTGAAATCTTGCCTAAAATCAAATGGTGAACTCTAGGTGTGCCCCGACTGGGCTCACCGATAATCTAGGACAACTGAGAGCATGTATTCTTTGTTTCTCCGCATCTCATCGGTCAGTTCATTGACATCAATGCTCGTTTCAGCACTCTTTTCGAAGCACTGTTCAATCAGTGTGCCCACTTTGAGCACACCCACAGAATTAAAAGATGTGCTATTTTCACAAAATTTTACTTGTGTACTCCTCTAAGACTGCCTACCTTTTTTTTTAAATCAAAACTCCAACTTTAACAGATAGCGTGCAGGAAAGGGTAAAGAAAGTGATAATTGACGCACATTTGGGAAACCTGAAATATTTATTAGTCATTAGCTCATAAGATACATAGGATTCCTGCCCACCTGAAAAATTCTAGAAACTAAGTGAGATAAATAAAAAAATGATCAGGGAAAAATCAGGAGAAATAATAATTTGTTCAAAAAAACTGTCAAGACGACTAAACAATAAAGATCAACTCTCTCAAACTATAGGTAGTTAAAAAAACCTAATGGACAGACATTACCCCTCTAAAAAAGAAAACAAGTAAAGGGTTATAGCAAAATATTTTTCTTACTGAAAATATTTTTTTAATATTCTTAATTACTGTATTGTGTTTTATAGTAAGCTTATAAAAGCATTTGCTTATTTGTGTGTGTATAATTTTATAATTAATTCATTATATTTTTTGTGAAATAAATTTAAAAAGTTGAATTTCATTGGGAATCCTAATACATTGGTGTGCAAAACGTAAGCAACAGGTGTTCTTTTTGCCACAACTGCACGAGAAATTATCTGAGAGACATAAAATTCAGAAATGAGACACAGCATTTTGTATTTAAGCCATGATGAAAGCATAGTTGCACAAAAATGAATATAATGCATACAGTGTGAAATTAAAAAAAAAAAAAAAAAAAGGCTTTATGGAACTCATAGTTTCATTACACATGATTGTCTGTACAAGAGGAAGAACAACAAGAACATGTTTCTTAGTATGGGATATGCTCTTTCCTTACTGCAATGATTGCTTTGCACCATCTCTCCATACGCCACCAGATTGTCTAACAGATCTTGAGGTAAGAGTGCCCATTTCTCAATCATCTGTTTCAGTTGTTGAGTGTTCCCTGGAAGATGTAATCGTGCTTCAAGGCATCTCCCCAAAGCATCTCACACATGTTCTATGGGGTTTAAATCAGGGGAGTAGGCTAGCCAATACATTTGAGTGATAGCTTCATTTTTCAGTAACTTCTGAATAGCAGAAGTCCAGTGTGGCCATGCATTGTCACCCATAAAAATGAAGTATGCTCTAATGGCACCTCAGAACAAACGCACATGGAGAAGGATCACCACCTGACAACAGCGATCTCCGGTTACAGAACCTCTGTTGAAAACATGAAACCCTGTCTACCCATTCAGCATAGTGCCTTCCCAGATGAGAACTACAGGAGCACCATAATGGTCTCTTTCCGTGATGTTACTGGCATGAAACCGTGTCCTGACCTCTCTCCAAATCAACTGTCGTTGAGAATCAATTGTGTCAGTAAAACGACTCTGATCCATAAAGAGGGCATAACTCCACTGATGAGATTTCTAGTTTTTGTGCTCCTTACACCACTCTAAATGGTGGCACCAATGGCCAACTTTCAAAGGGATGCAGCATTCAGGATGGCGGATGAATAAGCCACCTTTGTGAAGGCATCTGGACACAGTAAACCGCGACACTTGTCACCCCATTGCTGTACACAGTAGCTTAGCAATGGCGCTTGCTAACTGATTTCGGACTCTTTTCGTCTGCAGTATTATAAATTGGTCATCCACTACAGATGTTTTCCTGGAACGGCCACCATCAACCTTTCTAACAGCTGTACCTATGGTTTGGAAGGCTTTCCGAGCACGTGAAATGACACTTTTGTTGATTACAAACTCTTCAACTACACTGGACACAATACACCCCTTCTTCAGCTTTCTGATCATTCTTCCACGTGTGAAGTCATCTATGTGATTTCTTTCAGACATATTTCATGAAAGAACTCAGTTGCAGCTAATGTCGTTAATTGCATCTCCATCCTTTCTTTTATTGTAGTCTTGAGTTGAGAACGCCGACTGCACACGTTTTGCATATGCTCACGTCATCTGTGACGTTTTGTTCCTGACATTTCCTTACTTATGACCTTTTTACTGACTTGTATGTTTATTGTACTAATCGCAAGAACCTCTTTCCTGCAATTTCATGGCTATCTGATTAAAATTTACTGTCATGTACTGTCATATGGTGTTAGTGTTTGCTTGTCACAACGAGACAGCAAAGGCAGTTTGCATCCTATCAGCTTTGCTAGTCAAAAACTTTCGAAGACTCAGCAGAACTGGTCAACTATTGAACGCAAGGCTTATGCCGTTGTGTGGTCATTTAAAAAGTTTGAGTGTTGGGTGTTTGGATCAAATATCGACCAGATCACAGACCATAATCCATTATTATATTTGCATAAGTCGGCACCGCATTCAGCCAAATTGACAGAGATGGGCAGATGGCACTTCAGCATTACAATATTCATATTTCTCATTGCCCTGGTGCACAATTAAAAAATGCAGATGGTCTTTCAAGACTAGTTGGTGAATGAAATAGGTGTGAACTAAGTATGAACTAATATGTTTAAAACTTTGCATTAGTTATTTTTCTTTTGTTCCGGAATTGTACGAGAGCTACTTTCCATTCTGTTTTGAAAAACATATTAGTGGTTTCCATTTAATATTGCATTATAATATCGTGTTTTGAAATAGTATTGCATATATGTTTTATTACGGAACTCCGGTATTGTATCAAGTCGTCTGTTCATCTGTTGTGAGATGAATGTTTATTGCACTTATTTTAAAGTATGTTATTACGTCATGTATACATGTTCATATATTTTGAATTAATTTGGTTAAGAAAAGTATATATAATGAGATACTAGGCAAGTATTAGTATTATGTTTGTAAAAGTGTTTATATATGTCGTTTCAGTGCTTAATTGTTTATTTCAATGTGAGAGTATTTAAATACGAGGGCTATCCAGAAAGTAGATTACGTTTTGGAATAAAAAAATAAACAAAGTATAGGAAACAAATTTTATTATATACAGATGAAAGCCACACTCAAATACTACTTTTCTACATAGTCACCATACAAATTAAGGCATTTATCGTAGCGATGTACGAGCTTGGAAATTCCTTCGTCGAAAAATTCGGCCGCCTGCACCTTCAACCACTTCGTTACCTCTTCTTGCCTTCCATCTTGCACAAAACTTGTGGTAACCAAGCTTTTCGCTGATGATTTCGTGCAACAAACTTCGCGAAATTTGTGGAAAACTCAAAGAAAGTTCCGTTATTGTGAAATTTCGATTTTCACGGACTTTAGCATCGACTTTTTCGAGAAGTTCGGCGGTCACTATGCTGGGTCTCCCACTTCGATCTTCGTCGTGAACATTGGTTCGGCCATTTTGAAATCTTATGACCCACTGACGCACTCCACCTTCAGTGATAATGTTGTCCCCATACACTTCACGAAGCTGCGGATAGATTTCTATCGGTTTACAGTTTTTTGCAGTCAGAAACCTTATTACTGAGGGCACCTCGCAGCTCGCAGGATTTTCAATTAACGCAGACATTTCAAACTGTCACAGTATCTGAACGGAGCACAGCACGAACCTCTCACTAGCACGGCTAGATGCAGACTGAGCTGCGCAACGCTCTGACCCCAAGATGGCCGCGCTAGCCCCGCCCCTAGCAGACACAGACGGAAACGTAATCTACTTCCTGGATGGCCCTCGTATTAATAAGTGTATTAATTATTAAGCATTGGTTTGTGGAGTATACAATTTAAGTTTGTGAACTCATTTGCTGGTTCAGTTTTCAGATTCGCTTTGGCATAGCACAATCTTACCGGGAGGGGGGTTGTCATGTATCTGGCTGCAGTTAGCCAATCAGCTGCCTGCCAGAGTCCAGCAAGTGAGAGAAACAGTAGTTGCATGTTAGCCTCAGTGGAGGCTTATGGTAGATTAACTATGTTGTAGGAGCGAGGTAGTTCTCCGAGTTTACCATTATTCTTTGAACGTTAATTTTTAATAAATGTTTGTTTCGTTTTCTTTATGGTGCCTTATTCATCCGTAAAGCCATTACATTTACATTGTTGCTTGAGTTTTGCATTCTCCGCAATCATAACTTCGAAATAAAGCAAAGTTGCTATTCCCCCTTCCCCCACTTATTTCTATTTTTCTGAAAGATTGAAAATAAGCAGAATTTTCACTTTTTATGTGTGAATTCTTAATTACAGTGGTTATAAAATACATAAATCTTAATATTCTCTGAAATGAGTAAAATCATAAATACATTTAAAATTCAAGAAAAGATTTTTTCCATCACAGCCAATGACATGTCAATTTTAATTATGTCACCATTACTGAAGAAGCTGTTTATTAAAGTTTTTATTATTAAGTATTATAAAATACTGTTTTTATAACAAATAGAATAATTGTAGTATATTGTTATAATGATTGATTCAACAAGTTTGTGAGTGACTGTAAATACAGTTGTTTTAATTCTAAAAAAGTCAGCCTTAGATTTATATTGTTTTATTAAAAAAGCTGTGTACATTTTGAGGGAGTTGAATAGGGATCCTTCTTTTGTCAAATATTTGAATTTTATCCTCCCTCTTTGAAGAATGATTAGAGGGCTCATGTTACCTAAACAAGCACATAGCACAAGTAAGAGAAACATGTCAGCATAAAGTTAAGCAAAGAAAGTAAGCTTAGGATTGTAGTTTTTGCATGTTATCTGAAAAAGCATATAGCTTATTGGAAGAGCAACAGGTCAGCATAGCGTTTAAAGTTAAGCTTAGATTAGTGTAGTTTTTGTGTGTTAGCTGAACAAGCACTTAGCTTATTGAAAAAGAAACATGTCAGCATAGAGTTTAAAGTTTAGGAAAGAAAGTAAGCTTAAATTGGTATAATTTTTGATAGCCCCCCTTTTCCCCTAATTTTAAAAGAATCTGGGTTTTTGACAAAATCAGTTCGAATTTAAAACATGGATTTTACATAATTTTAAAGTATATTCTTGTGGTCTTGGGTATAAAAAATTCATTGATTAGTAGTAATTTCCTGTATTATATTTTCAACAATTTTGATGTAAAAATCACTGAATGTTTATGAGAAAAAATTGTCATTGTGAGGTGAATTACTATAAAGTCAAGGATTTTAATTAACAACGAGTGATTGTGTATGAAATACTTTAAACTACTATACTTGGAATCATATTGTTATTTATAGGTTGTTATTTTTATTCTTAGTAATGCTGCAGTTAATTTCACGTCTATTTCATTTCGATTATTGAAAAGATTCATGTAATTTTTTGAATGGGGGAGAAGGCTAATTTTGTTGTCCTTATTATCATGTGATTTATTTTTGATTTAAAAATATAAAAAATATATATAAATAATATTATTTAAAAAATATAAATATATATAAATTTAAAAAATATATATAAATTTTCCAAAATCTTTAAGTCCAGTTTTATGATGCAGGTCAGAATTAACAGATGAACTGAATATGGTGCGAGATGAAAAACGTAGGCTAAGGAAATTACTCAGAGATTTTGAAGATCAGTTTAAGAAAGAACATGGACGGTAAGAAATTGTGGATTTTTTTAAATGTAGATTGATTACAGTTAAAATTATATATGTATGATTCATTATTGTGCATTCATTTCATTTATAGTAAGGTGCAAAGGGAAGATAAACGTGTTATGGAAACACATTATAGTGCATATAAGGTGAGAAACTTTCCGTATGCTGTATATGATTTAAAAAATTCAGTGTAAATTCAGAATTTCTGTGGCTGTTGTAAAAGATACTGCAAAAATTTTTAATTAGAGAGAATTGGGAGTTAAATTTTTATTCCTCATTTTGTGTAGGGTCAAGTGGGAAATTCTGCTTGTATTTATAATACAGTAAAATGTGTTCTTTTTATTTATTTATTATTATTTTTTTTAATTTCAGAATTTTTACCATGATTGAAAACTTATTTTACTTATTTCTCCATCTACAAAACTTGACCATTTCAACATTGTATCAAAATAGATTACTTAAAACATAATTATTAAAATCTTAAAATTACTTCTTTGAAATTTTGCAGAGATTGATAAAATTATTAAGCTTAAGCATTAAGGATGAATAATTTAACTAAAATGTTGAGAAAAGGCAATTTTTTAAATATATGACATAATTTTTTTTAATTAAATTCAATGCATGTAAGTAAAATATCCTTGACATAATTGTTCTTTTATGCATTTCTTTTACCATTGATAATACTTATCATTCTGATTATATTTCTCTTACCATTCTGATTATTCTTACATACGTGCAAACATATATTACCCGTGTGTAAAATTAAGATAACTTGCACATTATTTAAAATTTCTGAAAAACTAATGGACATATTTTTAATAACTTTTGGTATAAATATATATTTGTAACAGAGAAAGAGATGCACCATTCAAAAGTCATTTTGGGTACACATGATTATCAGTAAAGCTCGTAGTCCAAAATGAAGTTTAAAATTCACATTGTACGTAGCGTATTCAGAAACTAAGTACCGTTTCATTCTAGTGCTGTCGCAGCGCTGTGGTAGGCGTCCCGCGCATGCGCACTAGTCTCTTTCTTGTTCACTGACTTTCAATTGTCGCCATTTTGGTTGCTCTGTGTTGTGTTTTCAGTTTGCTGTGCACATTCAAAATGTTTAAGACAATTAGTTCTCCCGCTGACTGTGAGATTCGGACCGTGATTAAATTTTTGAACACGAGGAATGTTAAACTGGCTGAAATTTATTGTCAAGTGACAGAAGTTAACCCCTTAACTGCCGCGGGCGTATATATACGCCTTGCTCAGCCGATGCGTTAACTGCCCCAGGCGTATATATACGTCCTTCCAAACTGCTATCATTTGCTTTGCGCTGCTACACCTAAAATTATTCGCAAAGTTAACGCATCGGCTGCGCATCTGGGGCAGTTAACGCATCGGCTGAGGAAGGGATATATATATTATCACCCGCGGCAGTTAAGAGGTTAACGACGAATACGCGATAAGTGATGGAATGGTGAGAAAGTGGGTAAGAATGTTTAATGCAGGTCGAACAAATATCCACGCCGAGGCTCGGAGTGGTCGGCCTTCTGTTGTCACCGATGATTTGGTAAGGAAAGTTGATGAATCAATTCATGAGAACAGACGCTTCACAATGACAACTCTTTCAGAGGCATTTCCACAAATTTCACGTACTGTTTTGTTCGAAATTGTGTCTCACCGCTTGAATTATCGCAAACTCTGTTTTCGATGGGTCCAAAAATGCTCACTGATGTTCACAAAACAAAGCGACTTGGTAGTGCCCTGACATTTCTCACGCGGTACAGTGATGAAGGAGAAAACTTTTTAAACCAAATTGTGACAGGTGATGAAACTTGGGTGTGTCATTTCACACCAGAATCGAAACAACAATCGATGGAGTGGAGACACACTCATTCTCCGAAAAAACAAAAGTTCAAAGTGACAATGTCATCACAAAAAATCAGTGCACAGTCTTCTGGAATAGGAAGGCGTTTTGCTTACTGAATTTCTTCCCAGAGGTGAAACCATTAATGTGGCACGATATTGTGAGACTTTAACAAAACTAAGGCGTGCCATTCAAAACAAACAAAGAGGAATGCTCAGTAAAGGAATTGTGTTGCTCCATGACAATGCTCAGCCCCATACTGCTGGTGTCACTCAATCGTTAATTCGACAGTTTCATAGGGAGCAGTTCGATCACCCGCCGTACAGCCCGGACTTGGCGCCGTCCGACTATCACTTGTTCCTGCATATGAAGCGCGAGCTTGGTGGCAAGCGCTTTGGATCTGACGATGACACGAAATATGCTGTGGAGTCGTGGTTATCGAAACTGGCGGGAAGTTTCTTTGACGATAGTATACAAAAACTGGTTACCCGCTATGACAAGTGTTTGATCATTGGCGGAAACTATGTTGAAAAATAGTTTAAGACATGTATTTTCATGTAAAAAAAAATTGGATTCGAAAAAATTGTTTCACTATTTTTTTTTTTTTTTTTTTCAAAACGGTACTTAGTTTCCGAATACGCCTCGTATACTACTGAAAGGTATAAATAAGATTTTATTAAATACTTGGATAATTTTCCATAATGGCACTGTTCAGAATATGCATAACTAGCTTTTTTGATTAACATAGACTCGTGATTCATGCCTAATTAGAGCACTATAATGCTTTATTTTAAGCAGATTAAAGTTTGTATAGCATGTAAGTATTAGATTTGTTGCTGTGATTCACATTTTAATTTATTTACTTATTTGTCCTCATGGTTTCAGAATACCAAAGCTAAGCTCAAATTATTAGAAGCCTTAGTTGCTAAACGTGAGCAGAACTGCTGAGTGTCCTGTTGTGGCCTGCTTCAGCCTTCAAAATCATATTTTTTTATCATTTTCTAGTCATATATGAAAGGTTTCAAGCAAGTTTGAAACATCGTGAAAAATTATTATAAATATCTTATGTGCATGCAGTGTGTATATTTATTTATACTTCATTTGGAATTTGTGGCAACATGTACCATATTTAGTTTAGCATTAGAGTTCAAGAGTTCCTATATTCAATAGCTTCCCATCTCTCATCAATAGATATGTGTTAACACTAGAAGTACAGGCAAATTTTGCTATGTAGAAAGACAAAGCGATCATTTTTTACCATTATAGAAAAAATGTATTTCTTTGAACTTGCTGTGACATTACAATTTTTAGCATTAATTTGGTGTTTTTAATCAATAAATTTCAATGAAAAAAGCTAACATAAAGAGTAATACCAAGTGAAGCGTAAAAGCAGAAATACTTTTCTGCTTGATGCTGTATTTGATCATTTTCCTTACACAACAATTCAGATCCCTTAACAGAAAAATGCAATGTTTCTTCCATTTAATTTAAAATTCATAATTTCAAGAGATTCTAAAAATTTTATAGTACTTTGCAACTGTAAATTTTGATCCAGGAATGGATCCACAATGTACTTTACCACATCTGATACATTTGGCAAAAAAATATAATTTTGATTTATACATTATTCTGTTTGGCATAAAATGAAAGAACATGTAGACTTCCAAGGAAATAACAGTTTATCTAGAGATCAAAATTTGGAATATAGCTCTTTGACAATTCATTATGAATTTATTCCAAATATTGGATATTGGACAAAACTTGCTTCTCTCCATGCTTTATAATGAATTCAAATTGTTTCTTTTCATTGTTTTGTGTTAATGGATGAATTTCTTTACCTATCCCATATCTGTTAGACTGGTTAATTTTTCACTACTAATATACTTAAACTGTTTTGAAGGCTTAAACATTTTTCCATATTATCAAGGGTAATGCTGAAGTTTGAAAGCTAATATTTTCCATTATTTTCAGTGCGTTTCTGAATTGACATCAGTATCAATTTGTTGATGAATAGGCAGAGCACACTAAGAGAATATTTTCATCCACTCTTTCAATATGGTGTAGGGTTAGTTTTATCTGTGATCATATTTTCAGTAGAAGTTTTATCTTTATATTTTTATTCTGTTTTATTCATCTATATTATCCCAAGATGAGAAACCAAAATGCCAAGCTAGCTCTTCTTTAGATGAAAACACGCTTTTGGAATCTTAATTGTTTATTTCATGGATGAGATTTCATGTTTGTTTCAACACTTAATTCACAGCATCACTTTAGTTATTTACTGAATTATGGAATTTATCATTAAAAAATGAAGTTTCCTAGGTACTAAGCCTTACCTTATGAATCAACTGGCAAAAAAATATAAATTTTAAACAGCTGCCATGTGTTACTATTTAGTACTTATTTAGGTAAATTATTAATATTTTTTAAATAAATTACAAAATCAAGAAATATTTGTAACACTGTAATACAGAGGTCAAATTAGGAACGAAGATCTGTACTCAAAATAACAACTCTAAGTACAAATTTGGACAAATGGTAAAAAATGACTGTTTAGTATTTCTAAATTAAAAAAGAATATTCACTAATTTAGCTAATTCTTAATATTTGAATGAGAAATCAGTGTCTCACCAGTATTGCATAAAAGCATATCATTTCAGGAGATTTAATTTTGTAATTAATTACATGATTAAAGTTTTCTATGAAGCCTTTGCATTCCAAGCATTTTCTGATAAATCATTTTCTGACTGATAAGCAACTTCAGCATATTTTAGCAACACTTTTTTAGAAAACTAAAAATTGTCTGTGGAAGCAAACAGAACTAATTATTTGCATTTGATTGACAACAGAATGTTTTAAAAAAGTACATAACTGTCTCCTAAATGGTTGGTCATTCAAGAGATTTTTAATTGTTTATAGGCCTTTGGTTACTTTAAGAAATAAATTGAGTAATGTAGGTTTTCAGATTGTAACAGTTATGGTCATATGGCAGATTTTAATAAAAATATGTGAAGTAGTACTTTTTATATGGGCCTTTTGTAAAGAAATTTCCCTCAATCATTCCTTTTTAAGCTTAAAAACATTTACAGGAAGCAAGTCTTTTCAGAAGTATATAGCTTGCATACTTTTACCTGAAGTGAAATCAACAATTAAAGATAGTATATTTTTGCTATGGTCTGGCTTTAATTTCAAAGCTATGATTTGGCATTAAAAGTTCTCTGACATAAGTATTTTTTTTTTTTAATTTACATTGAAAATCTCAACTAATATGGCTACTTATAGAAATGTAAGAATTTTAAATTAATGACCGAAAGAATTTTATTGAATGATACCTTATACCATTATTAACCTTTCAACGCGTATGTTTTAAAAGTAGGAAATCACCCCTGAAAGAGAATAACAGACACTTTTTCCAAAATTCATGAATGAGTTTTTTTATCATCAATATCAACTAATGATTTGCTTCCTATATTCAATAAAAAATTTTCAAGAAAGCAGATGATTTCCATGAGTTGGTCAGTGATTCTGAATCAATCTCAACAATGCCTTTACTGTATTTACTATTTCCCCAGCTTAACTAGTAAGGTAATAGTGAGACACTATCTGCCCCAACAGCAAAGGCATATGGAAAAATACCTCATCCTCTCTTCTTCCCCCTTTTACTCTCTGCATCTTATCTAAACATTTCATTTTGATATCAGTCAGCTGTAGAAGAAGCAATCAGTTATCTAAAAAGTTTTTATTTGTTTGACCAAACCTCCCCAGGGGGGTGAGTTGTATAAAAACTTTTGTTGCATATGTTTTTATTAAGGTGTGCTATAGGACCAAAGGTATCACAGTCTGAAGTCTTATTTCATTCACTTTAATGGAACAGTAATTTGATGATCAGCCATTGCTCATGCAATCTTTTTTTTAAATAAACTGCATAACATAATGTGTATGCATATTAAATCAAAATGCATACCATCTGTTTGGATGACAGAGTTGCAGATGTGGGATTCATAATACAAATCAAACATGCAAATTTAAATTTTAGAATGTTGCAAAGTTTCCCATAAGTCATTGATTGGAATGCAAAGGTTATTAACTTGCCAAATGCAATGTATTATTATTACAAGTATTATCCTTTAAACTTTGTAAATTTAATTATTTAATTATGATGAAAAAGTCATTAATTTTGTAATATTACATTTTAATCAATTTTGTACAATTTTATATGAAAATTAAAGTTGCAATAAATTTACTCTGCACTGAGAAAAATGTTATCATCAGCAGTCTCTGTAATTATTATATTGCAGTGCCATTTCTAAATGCTTTGCTGTGCAGAATTGTTTCTTTACATTTCTACTATTACCTGAAGTATTTGCTTTATATTTATTTAAAAATAAGAAAACAGTTGTCTGTTTTTGCTTATATTTATTTAAAATAAGATAACAGTTATCTTAACATTAACCCTGTGGTTAGCATAACTACCATTATCTGGCATGAGATTTATGTCACAAGGCATATATATTGCCTTTTTATTTAATTTTTTTTCTTATTTTATGTAATTATTTAACTACAGTTCTAGCAAAAAAAAAGTTATGGAAACAAATAAATAATTCATTAATTAAATAATACACTGTAAATACAGTGTTTGCAACTTATTCAAATCACTTCTATTTCAAGGGGAGTTGATTAATGCTTTTTCACAATAATATGGATAGAATACTCATCACTTAGACTGTCAACATCAGAAATCTTTCCCTAAACTGGCATTTTAGTTAAGCACAAATACAATCACTTCTCTTAAATTTGTGAACGGCCCTGAATATGATGCCCAACTTTAAACTTCAATATTTGTCATATGGAAATTACAATTTTTATAATGAATATAACATTTTTCTAAATAAGAATATCGGGACTGGGAAAATATATAAAGTCAGGTTTCATAATTTTTACAGCATTGATTTTTATAATTTAAAAATGTCATCATATAATTTAAAACATCAAAATATTTTAATTTAAATATGCATCATACAGTACAAAGTTCGAAATCCGGACTTGTTGGGACTTCGGCGATTCCGGATTTTGATTTTTCCAGATATTCGATCATCAGTTTAAATCTAAGACATGTAGAAATTATAAAATTAATTTAAATTTAAGATGACATGTAGGAATTATAAAATTAAAAATATGAAATCATGATTTATGAAATAATGAAGGATTTATGATCTAAAAGGTATCAAACTTTACAAAAAAAAGCTTAATATTTATTTATTTACCTTATTAAACATTTCTTTCAATGTAAGTTGCTTCATTTTTTGTGCTAATAATTTCTCTTTAACTCTGTAGACAGACATAATTTCCTGTTTAATTACATTGTTGAAGTCCTGTAACTGCTGTTTCGAGAATTCCAACTCACTTGTCAATTGAAATTTTCTCGTTTTCAGTAACTTCTCTGTCACTTTCTTCACTATTGGTAACGGTATTTTCTGGATTTAGAACCATACTACAGATTTTGCCATTCACTAATTGATTGATGATTTAGAAGCATTGTCATCACAATGAAAAACTTCTTTTATATCATCATCATTTATTACCGCTTCTCCACATTTCTTTACAAAATCCATTAATTGGAAAATTTCACCTTTATTTTGCGATATCCGAAAACCTTTAAAATTAGTGGCTATCTTCATCAAATTTAGCTATCCTTCACTATACATATTTGGCTATGCATCATGAGCTTGGCGACTAACGACAAGTTGTTCCGTTAAATTTTATCTTGCTTCTATCGCACACTGAGACAATTAAGCCTGAATTGTATTAATTTAGTTATTTATTATAACTTATGTCTATTTCTTGCACATGCTTAAGGCTTATCAGAGTTCTGAATAAATAAATTCCCACATATACTTAAGCCTTATTGAAGGCCGGAGCTAGATATATCGATTGCGATATCCGAAAACCTTTAAAATTAGTGGCTATCTTCATCAAATTTAGCTATCCTTCACTATACATATTTGGCTATGCATCATGAGCTTGGCGACTAACGACAAGTTGTTCCGTTAAATTTTATCTTGCTTCTATCGCACACTGATACAATTAAGCCTGAATTGTATTAACTTAGTTATTTATTATAACTTATGTCTATTTCTTGCACATGCTTAAGGCTTATCAGAGTTCTGAATAAATAAATTCCCACATATACTTAAGCCTTATTGAAGGCCTAAGATATCTTACCGCATGATGTAGTCTCTGTGGGTCCTAAATTTTGCGATTGTGCGGCATATGAGCCCTGGCGCTGGTTCTGTTTATGTGAATAACAAATCAGTTATTCTTAATTCAAATAGCCCTAAATGTAATCTTTGGGTCTATGAGTATCATAAAAAAAAATCTATGTTTAACATATGGAAAGAAAGTTTTGGTAAATTTTCCCGCGTCAACATTTATTAGCGCTTTTAACTTAAATCTGTAATCATCGCCAAGTGTAATGTCAACATAAAAGGTTACCTTTTGGTTATACACAGATATTATTCAATTACTAATATAAACAAAATTGTTTAGGCATTACTCAAGTTGTCATGTTTTGATAAACATACGGTAATGAAAGGAAAGTATAATAAATAATGATTTGCCAGGTTGGCGTCAGGGATATAAAATATTAGTTGATGTAAAATCAACAATGTTTCTATATAGAATGTTTTCGGTTTGAGACATGTGTGCCAAGCAGATATACGCAGCACATCGAGTCAAATTATTGATCGTACAAATTTATGCTAAAATGATTGTTTCTTCAATAACAAGGTATTTTATTTAGTATTGAAGTGAAATTAAGAATCTAGAGGGGGAAATTAAATGCGCATGCGTAAAGCCTATGAGAAAAACGGTGGTTTTGAGGTCTGGATTTTAGATCATTCCGGATATTGGACGTTTAGATTTTGGACTTTGTACTGAATATAACATATTTATAGCTGAAAGTATCTGTGTATAACCAAAAGGTTTTCCAAAGTAAAAGCCATGGAAGGACTTTTGTGGACATGGTCAGCAACCAGATTATGACTTTTAGAGGAACACTCAGCACTTCAATTGGTACCGTTTCATATATTTATATCAGCTTTTTGTTCATTCCTTCTCTTTTTATCTCGATTTTGTTGAAGCTGCACCTTGCATTGCACATTGAAGTCTTTTGATGCGCTTTTTCCTTGATACCCTAAGCACATGCTTCTATTGCTTAATGGTTAATCCAGCCCTGGATATGGAGTTACAGAACAAAGTTCAAGATCTGACATTGTCGTGATTACCAGATTTCAGAACATTAGTTTAAATCTAATATAATGACAGGTAGACATGGCAACATTAGGGCTTTGTTTCTTCTTTAGATCAGATATGAAAATGCTAAATTCCCACAAGATGTTTTGATAAACATGCCAGAGCAAGTACAGTTGGTGCAGTCACATTGGGTGTCAGGATTTTTAGAATTTGGGAGTGGCATTGGGCAATAGAATCGAGGGACAGCGAAACTTTTAGAATTTAGGGACGTATCGAGCAGCTCTATCAAGGACCAATAGAGATTGTACTGGGCAGAAAATTGTACAGTGCTGTCCCCCCACACACAACTATTTAAGGGCTGAAATTGTAATGCTGGCCAATATCAATTAATGCATTATTATTGGTCTCAGTGCAACTAGCCAGCAGGTGTTTGAAAATGACATGCAGGAATACTCAGTTACTCCACAAAAAAATCGCATTTACGATACACCTGCTATAGTCTGTATTCCTAGACACTGTTGGGGGATGATTTTTAATTATTTTTTGCTGTTGGTCTGAATATCAGGTTATTTTGAATATTGGACGCATGGATTTCGGACTTTGTACTGTATATATAAACTTAAAAAAAAAATGCATTTACTGTAAATTTGCAACCATAAATTGTAACTATTGATTAAGGATAATCCTGACTAACTATATGTACATCAGTATTAACACTTATCCTACCATTGTAATTTAAGAATGGATCCTGTAAAATGCAGACTAAATTTTGTTCATTTGATGAGAATTTATATATAGCCTTCAAATAAAAATAGCAATAACTTAACAACATATAATGCACATATGACTTTATGTTTCAAGGTATTTTTGCATAAATGTAAAATCAAACAAATAATAAGAGGTACAAAAACAGCTCTTTAAAAATATCATCACCGGATAATTCTAATCAGGGCGCTCAAACGGTTAATATGCTACCGTAGGTAAACATATTACTAAATCATTTTAATGGTTTTAAGTTTGGTAAGTTGTTTGTAGATATCACAACGTGAAATATTTTAAAGTTTTATTTTATTCAAGGCTTAAAAAAATTGTACAAAAATTTACTCCTGACACATAATATCCATGAGTATGAAATTTTTGAGAAATAATAAATACAATGAAACTTGGATAAGAAGGCACTGCATAAATAGTTTCTATCCGAAACAGGCTTTCACAGATTGTTCATAAAAATGTGATGTTCTGCTTGTTAAGTATTCCCAAATTTCTGATACGAAGAGTGCATGTTTTAATAAATTTTATTAACTTAAGAACATTTAAAAATATGCAGACAAAAATTTTGTTTTAAAAGTTTTATTTCCTTTCAAAATGAAAAATCTTTTTTATTTCTGTTTAATGACTCCAACTATCAGGTTACTGATACAGCGTACCTCAACTTTTATGAAAGCTTTTCTAATTTTACAATTGTAATTTACCATTGTAATTTAAGAATTTAACAAACAACTTACACACAAAAATAATTTTTATGAATTTTGTAGTTTTATGCAAGACATCAGGAAATAAGCTGCTTAAGTGATCTGTCACCAAATCCGCATATTATTGATTGACATTTGAGTTGCAATTTGAATTACATCATAATCAAATGTGCCCTTTTTAGTATGAATTTGTCTGCCATGCGTCATTAGATACGACAACTTTCAAACATAGAGAGATTTTAAGGCATCTTTGATAGCACAAATTTCATGGTGATTTTTTAAACAAACAAAATAACCATATTACAGTAATCGTTACAATAATAATAATGTATTGTCAAAACAGGATCTTTAATATTTTGTAATGTGATCTCTTGCAAAAAGTACAACAGTTTCACTTTTTCTGTGTGAATTTTCTAAAAATTTGTCCTGAATTTATAGAGTGCAGAAATCATCAACCACTACTCTTATTCCCTTATTTTAATCAGCATTCCATCCTATTTAGTTAGTTGAATCTTGGACATCTATTGTGTTGTATATAAACTCTATACAAACACCTTTTGCATTTCGTTTTATGCAACTCTATTTCTATTTCTCTTTTTTTTTTTTTTTTTTTTTTTTTTGTAATTTTAAATAACATCTATGTGCAGAAAATAAGTAATAATGCAATATATTTTAGACCTTTGTCGAATGAAAGAAATAATGATTGGGGGAAGTTTAGTTTATTTAATTATGGCAAAGCATGTGAGGGCTATCTGCCTAAGAGGAGGGATGCCTTCATGGAGGACTTTCTAAGAGAATACACATTATGCTTGGGGAAGACTATGAAAACACCCATGCAACCAGCCTGTTGACCTGGAATAAAATCCAAGTCAGAACTATTAGTGTTCAGCGACTTTATTGCTCAGCCGCTGATAGGCCTTGGGGTAAGAGAACAATATATTTTATCAAGAATCATTAATATCTCAATGATAAAATGTGTGGTTTTGAGTAAGTTATCACAGATATGATTAAATATGCTAAGCCCCCTTACACACACACACACACAAAAAAAAAAAAAGGGGGGGAAGAAGAAGAGCGTGTATTGTTAAGGAATAACCAGGAAATAAACAAGAAATGTTTCCTAATAAATTGAAGATTTGTTTCAAAGAAATCAGCAAAATTTTGAAATAAAAAATGCATCAGATATATGCAGTAATATAAAAGCCATTTTTATAGAATACATATTATGAAAGCATTTTTTTAGAGAGGTTTTTATCACTTATTTATTCCAAATGGATATTTGGTAATACGAAAAATTGATTAAATTTACAAAACAATAAAACTAAAAA